CCCTTTAGACGAGTAAAGAGGGCAGTTTTCCCAGTGCGCCGGTCACCGCGAATAACCAGTTTCACTGAGAAAATAAGGTCATTAGACACATGGATTCTTATTACATAAATATGGTGCGACAAGGACAAAGAGCAAACACCAGCGAATAACGCACTCGGGCGATGCGCATTTATCATGAATGTGAAGGACATTAATTGACTCGCTAAAGATAGGCCTGCCAAAAATCTGGTTCACTGATTATTAGTATAGCTGCCCATGAAATTCGGTAGGATAGGCGAGAGAATTTTTGATATAAGCCCGTGAGTGTTGGACAGCCGGTCGTTTAGGATGAGTTAAAAAATATATTGGTATGCTTTTCTCTGTCCATAGAAGGTATAAAATGGCGTGGGCAACATACCATATTTTAGGATTTATAGTAAATACAGCGTGCGCACAACGAGCGACGGATGCTAGTGCACTAGCATGGATTGTAAGTGTTCCATAAAGGGTTTGTGATACGTCATCATTCGTCGACAGCGACTTTCAGAAAAGTCAGGTACTGACAATTTTATTGCTCTACATCTCATCGCAAAAATCACTTAAACTAAAGACCCGAAAATCAAGAAAGGGTAGTTTTGCGAAATTCACTTAGGGGAATGTTCACAAAAGTCTGTGTTCTGCGGCCAAATAAACTCCCATCATATATTAAAACTAACGAACTAACATAAAATGATCTGCGTGAAAGTCGATAGTTATAAAATAAGACCGCAAGGTCAGATGAATATATATTCCTACGCACTGTTGTACTTAACACCATTGGCGAACCGCCTTTGCAATTCCGGTCGCAGAGGGTGGAAGTTGCCATTACATTTTGGGCCATCAGTAGCCCTGCTATCTCGTGCAAAGAACTTCCACAACGTAGACATTTAGCAGCCTTTCTCAGGAAACCTCACACCGAAAAGCGAACATAGCCCAGTTGTGAAACCAGAGGCTAAATCGAAGGCCAGGAGCCTGCGGTTTTACTGGTCCAAGTTGTGCAAGCACACACAGATCTGAGGGCATGGTCTTGCGTTACATAAGGTTCTCATGTGTAATGTCGCTCTAATGATAGGATCTACAAGACTATGGAGCCTTAGCTAAATACCAAAGTGCCCAGGAGAAATTAGAGAGTAGTGGTTAAACACAAACGTGGTGGCATACGTGAAGGCTGCAGCGACTAAAAGCCACACGAGGGCCAAGGCTTAATACGCCACAAAAAAATGAGACTCGGGAACGGAAACGTTACCCTTTGAAAGAATGGTAAGACGCAGAACATTACATTGATGGGGGCGAGGAACGAGGGAAATTACTAAGGCGCGGAAAACAAGCAAATGCGTGTCGGCGTGAGAAAATGTTTGAGGAAAATGCATGGTTCAAACCAAAGAGGCCGACAGAAGCAGTTATAAGTTTAACGCATAATATTGATTTGTTCTAATTTTGTGACAACGTTCATAATTGAATGCAAACTTGTATATGTATTGTTTCCTTCATACTCGCTTATCGCACTGTGGAATGCGCACACATCTACATGAAATCTAAGCGTTTCAGGCTTACTTTGCATTTGGGGGATTATGATTCCTTCTGCAGCCAATCCGTTTTAATGCTGGATTAAGCGTAGAACAATTCTTTCACTGACCTCTTGTATTCATTCAGGGCTTAAGGAGTTTTCGCAGTTGATTTCGCATATTGGCCGTCTGACAAGTAAATAAGACAATGCACACGCTTCACCTTTTACCCTATTAGATGTATTTCCTGTTTTTTCAAGGTCGGCGAGCTGCACCTATGTCGCATTCAAATCTACAGCCAAATACGAAATTCAGTCGTGCGATTTCATTCCTTCAGATCTGATTCGCTTCGCACGCGTTTGGAGACGTCTCCGAAAACCAAAAAGCCGACGGTAATTTTTGGCCGAATTTCTCCTCGGTAGGTACCGTCGTAGTCAAATTGGTAGCATGAAGTCGGTTTGGATCCGCAGACAAACGCTTTCGGCCACACCTTGTTCTTAATACATGTGTGTCACTGTCCTCATAGCATGAACCTCAAAGGCTAATGTATTATAATTATCTGAGGTTATGGAGAGCAGTGGGGCAGGGGGGATGCGTGTATTTTTATAAACTTCTCCCGGAGCTTAAGTTTAACAAATGCCTACCTTTCGAATTCGACATCCGAACAGGAAGACGTGGTTACTTGGAACAAGTTACTACATAATATGCCATAAACGCACATCATCAAGTGGGCTGGAAGGCCTCGATGAGGCAATGACACTCGATTCCAAACTTTGCTCTTTTAACGAGTGTACAAGCAGGATGTGGAGACCGGTTATTTCCCTGAAAATTCACCTTGAGTGGTGGTCCAAGGAGTTCCTGCGGCGACAGGTGAGACCCCAAAGAGAGGGTCAAGCAGGACCTTCTGACATTCCAAAATTTAATAAATAGCACTCAAAAAGCCGGTGAGGTGATTGATATACAAAATATCTTCCGCTCCGGACCTGTACATAAAAACAACGCAGAGGAGATGCGTTCAAGACCACTGAAAGTCGACTTGGGGAACGAACAGCAGGAAGATCGAATATTAACTCGAAAATCCAGGATACGAAACAAGAGCACTGGTAGCAAAGTAAAAAAGGCGTCAGAGTGAGAGGAAGATGCAAATATTGTGGGCAACGAAATGATAAAAACGGAGAGCAAGTTTCTATGGAACAACCCGATGAAATCGACGGTCATCAGTTCCAGTCATCAGTTCCATCGAACACTAGCAAATTTGAAGACAGTCTGTGAACCGGATAAGTAGTGTACAATTTACAGCGACAACTGTCAAGTTCAAGAACTTACAGCTAACTTCCAATGACCAAGAGAGCAAAAAAATGTGTTAATGATGTACACAGACTTAAAAAGTCTCGTCAACAAAAAAAGATGAAATTAAGCTGACCGTGGCCCATTTGCAACATACCTTTATAGCTCTAAGAAGACATGGTTTAATGAGTAGATAACAGACACATAAGTCATGCTGGACGGCCTCCGGCTTATCCGCATGGATCGAGATGGACGTAGGGGTAGGGAATCGTGATGTTAACGCGGGACGACACTAGATACGCAGTGGATGGCTCCCCGCCAAGAGGGAACGCCGGTTGCGAAATCATTAGTTGTAAATTGGAAGTACCAAACCAAACGGACCTCCATATTTCGCTGGTATGTGGACCCCCAGGACAGCGGAAAGATATGGATAATGCACTCATCAAAAAAGTTAAAGCAAGTAAGCCGTAGCAAAATAGTAATAATACTAGAGATTTTGACTCTTCAAATATCAATCAGGGATCGTTGTGCTGCGCGCGATCGGAGAGCAAATTCGAGCGAAAGCTCTCCAGTTGGTCACTGACTAATTCCTTACCCAACATGTTACAGTGGACACCCGATTTTGAAGTGGACGGCAGTCAGGCTGTTTAATTTAATTCGGATCTCATCAATTCCAGGGATGAAAACCGTGTCACCTGATTGACTTCTAACACGCCCCTGGACCGAGGCGACCACTGCGTTTTTGTTTGGGAGTACAGTCACTTTTCTGTACCTGCAATTCGAAAAACAGACGAGAGAAATGTATGGAAAGGGGATTATTCCGAAAGGAAAAAACTGCTGGCTGTTGCTAGAATGGAATCCCTCACATGTATCTGACCCAAACGCAGCCTTGGTGTTCTTTAAGAACGTGATTTGACACTTGGAGGAAAACCGCTGTCCGCTTAAAAAGAGATCTTGCGTTTCCCGACCAAAGTGGGGATATCGGAAATAAAAAGAGACTTCAGAAAGAGGAGATCGTGGAAGAAATGTGCCACATGTCTGCCGTCTGAATACTTCTTAGGATTTAAGAAGCAGCTTAATACGTGTGGGGGCCTCCTTAGGAGAGAAGAACAGAATATGGGTCAAAAATAATCAAAGAAACACCAAAAAATCCGAATAAGTTCTTCGCATACATGAAGAGGGCAAAACGCAATCCGGACTCCATTCGTTGTCCAAAAAATCATTAGGGAAATAAGTTAACTGATACCTCCGACGAGATGAATCTTTTATCCGACTTCTCCATATCCTTGTATACTGCGGAGTCGTATTTTCATAAAAAAGTATACTGGCAAATTGCTCCACCAAGAAATAAAATTAACACTGTGACCTCCGCAACGGACGCTGTACGGAAAACCCTAGGACAGCTACGACCCATTAAATCGCCTGGTCCGGATATGCCCTTGTCAGTAGATGCAGTCTACACTGACTTCAGCAAGGCCTTTGACACCGTGCCACACAGACGTCTCATATCTAAACTGGGCCAAATTTGTGACTGGTAACCTTCTGAAGTAGTTAGCCGACTTCCTCGCAGGCCGACGTCAGACTGTGTGCAGTACTGACGTCAAATCAGAGTAGGACACCGTTCACAATAGGGCTCCGCAGGTAAGTGTTCTGGGTCACATTATGTTCTTAATGTACTTGAACGATTTCCTAGATTGTCTGACCAATGAGAAGGTAATGTTCGCAGGTGACCAGAAGATGTCGATTTCGATTGAAAAACCAGAGGACGCGATAAACTTGCAAAACAACTTAGATCGAATGCAACAGTGGTGTGATGAATGGTTTCCTAACCTCAATTCTTACAAATATCAACTCACCTGACTGAAGTCTGGTTAAAAATAACAATTGTATTTAAGGCCAGTTTACAGGTTTTTTCAGGGAAAGATTAAATATAAATCCAGCCAGCAGTAAAAAACTGCTGATAAAACAAAAAATAAAGAGGATGGTGCGGTGTATAGTTTGGAGGGTTCGTGAGAAAAAAAACTGTTGCCCATGAAATGACGCAGTCCAGAAAGGGAGGGAAGCACTGTATCGAATTTTATCAGCAGCTAATTATTTTCATGAAGTTGGAACTGAATCAAACTGAAGCGCTGGAGAACAGCTGTCGCTGTTGGCTAAAGAACTTGTCCCTGTTGAGACCGGCCATGGGGATCAGAGACCACAAACGCCACCGCAACGGTACATTCGATCGATGGATTCAGCAAAGAAAAATTTTGGGAGTTTTTCTAAATGTAAAAAGCGATTAATAGTTCTCTTAAACACGCAGAAATTTGCAGAATGTTCACATTCCTGGGGAATTTATTCCGAATGGCAATTGTGTCTACAGAAAAGAACCAAAGATATTTAACGGTACGTGTCAGAGGAATAAATAAAAAATATCACGGTGACTGTTACCTCGGCGGTGGACAAGATGTTTTAAATTAGTAAGCGGGTTAATGGTGCGATTATATAAAAGCGTAAAGAGTAAAAAGAATTCATTTTGTATTCTACGAAACAACAAAGGATTATGGCCTTTAAGCCGGCAACGTTCTCGGTAAGACAAATCCTTGTTTTCCGGGGTTAAAACTCTATTGGTAAAAAAATGTTGGACGTATTCTATTTCCTTGCTCTCAGTAGCACTCATGAGATTAAATAAAAACGAACAGTATTCCAGTCCGGGTCAAACGCACATGTTATAGAGGTACATTCTAATATCGCAGTTTTTAAAGTTTCTGAGGATAAACCCGGTCGGTCTACGTGCTTTGGAGACTATCGGGGTGCAGTAATCCAAGAGATTAAGGCTTTTGAACTATGATACACCCAGATATATAACAGCTCCAGGTGCATTTATGTCGTGACCGCCAATAGTTATTTGAGACTGGTGGCCATCGCCAATCCCCATGAACGAGTATTTATGCCAAGAGACAGAAAGGCACCATATGCAGCGCCACTGGACAAAGGCCTGTAGGTCGCTCTTTAAGAACTCAAGCACGATGTCACGATCTGCTGGCTTATACCCGTATGCAACTTTCAGATTATTGACATACATGAAAGGCTTACCATTCTGAAATACATCGGGTACATCATTAATGAAAAGGCAAAATAAAAGCGGGCCGAGTACACTACCCTGAATGACTCCACTCCTCAAACGTGTGGGTTTGGAGATAATATTGGAAATCTTAACTCGTTGTGTACGAGTACCTAGGTAAGAGGATATAAAATTCAAAAGTTTGCCATTTATTCCAAAAGAGGACAGTTTCAAGAGAAGAAGAGCATGGTCAGCACGATCAAAAGCCTTAGTGAAATCGAAATATACTGTGTAAAGTGCAAAACCATTGTCCCTAGATTGGAGAACATAGTCAAAGAAAGAGAGTTGACAGGTGTCACAAGACCGAGCTTTGAGAAATCCATGCTGAGCAGCACTCAGTAGGTTATTCTCTGTTAAGTGACACATCATCTTATCTATGATCAATGTCTCTAAGATCTTCGAAACTTTGGGGTGGATGTTTACTGGCCGAAAGTCGTCAAATGATGTAGAGTTGTCGTGCTTAGGAATGGGCAGAATGTGTGATTCCTTCTACAAGGTTGGATAAGTTTCACTTTCAAGAGCGCGATTAAATATCTTGCATGAGAGGGATGGGAAAATCGTATTTGCATCTGTGTTAATAATGCTTACTGGGACACCATCAGGTCCTGGACTATTCAATTCAATTCAATTCAATTATTTTTATTAAAGACCCGTCAGGGTCCCATCAAAGCAAGTAAAAATAAATTTACATGCAAATTTTAGACGATGTAGGCGAAATCTGCACAAAGTGCAATGCATAGTTTTTGAGATTAGAAGTCCGTTAAGCAAAATGAAAATGAAAAAACGAGGGGTGAAAAAAAAACTCCAAAGCAAAATTTAAAAATGATTGTAGTAATTTAACAGGAGAAAAAAAACCCCTCAGAAAAATAGCATCAGAAAAAAACAGGGAGGACTGGCCTGCATGTGGCGGTACAAAATGGAATATAGTCCGACATCAACATGGCCGAAATAAATGTCAGCTGTATATGGCATTGTGTAACGGATTTCATAAAATAGTACGTAGGCGGGTCGGTCAGGACTGGCCTGTATCGCCTTGAATAAGAAAAATAAGTGCCGAAATTGAAAACCAGTCTCAAGCCGATAGGAACCCAGATGCGGTCGGTTTCATTCAACCGAGTCCATCCGAGCATGGGGGAAGGGAGATGCGACCAGACTACTAGTATATGGCGAATATAGAAGGCTTTGTCAAGGTCCTGGACTATAAGATTGACGAAAACGCCGAATCGCAACAGTCACATCCCACAGAGTGAAAGTTATAGTTTCTAGAACTGCCCCAGTCAATGCCTGGACAGTCGAAAATGGAGTGGTCGAGTCTTCAATGAACGTTTTGGGGAGGAAATCATTGAAGCAATCAGCGGTTAACTGGACATCAAGGTCTCAGAGGATGGGATGCTGCGTCTTTCGGTGAGTTTGTACTTTTCTAGAGAAAAGTTTCGAGACACTTAAAGAATGGTTTTCGGTAAACTGGATCTCCCCGGCTAGCTGTTTTTCTTCAGACAATCTCTTAGCCCGCTCAAAAATATCACAAATCAAGGGCAGGACAGAAACGTCATTCCGAAGATGGAATCGACGAGAAAGTCTGCGCAATCTGCGACGAAAGGCTAAGGGTAGGGAAACCTCTTCCCCAACATTAATAATTTTCTTTCGGGGGATGCAACGAGAAATAAGCGGATCCAAAATTTCGTACAGTTTTGCAGTGCAAACAGTTACATCCGAACTAAAGAAAAAATCGGTCCATTTGTCACAAAATTTGAGCGAACCAATATTCTGCGTTAAACTTACATCATCAAGGTTAGATTAAAAGTGGGAATACAGGGTTTAAATAGATATTTATTACTCACTAATGATAGGTCCATTGTTCTCTCTTCCCATTGGCCCTCCTTTTCTGTTCAAATGATAACTGACGGCCTCGTATGGCGCCAGTAGGTCGATCCTACGGTAGATCGAGTTGGCGTTGGATCGCCAGGCTTCGATAATCTTTCTCGTCATTTTGCCTCCTGCTCGACCGATTACTTCTGCCTTATCGAAGCCGAATTGACGGTTATTTTGGAGGCCGTGCATAACAGCACGTGATCGCACATCTTTTTGCTTTACAGCTAGCGAATACTCATGCATGCGCGACCTTAATTGTTTGTCGGTCATGCCGCAATAGTTGGCCGGACAGTCTGTACAGTTGACGCGGTAAACAATTCCTGTTGTGTCCTCAGCTGGTAGCCGCCCCTTGGGCTGCCTGAACAAGCGGCGGATAGTGACCTCCGGCCGGTGTCCAAGGCCCACGTTGAGTGGTCTAAGCGTGTGTTCAGTGGCTTCGGAAACGTCACTCACGTAGGGTACAGCACGGAAGATTTCAGTTTTTTATTTTTGTTCACCTTTGGTGTTCGTGTGCCTTTGATACAAGCATTTGTTTATGAAGCTTTGTGAGTACCCATTGTTGAGCAAGAGATGCCATAGGGATTCACGCTCTCGCAGCCTTTCAGCTTCTGTGCTGCAGTGTGTGTTGATGCGTAGGAAGAGTGTCCGCACGTAACTGCGTTAAAGGGTGGTTACTGCTGTATTGTAGGATTTTCGACGTATCAGTGGCCTTTCGAAAGACACCAGTCTGGAGGGATCCGCCTTCTTGTCTTGACACCTGAATATCCAGAAAGGGGATCTCTCTGTCCTTTTCTTCATCCATTGTGAATTGAATTTGGGGAAACATTGAGTTAAATTTGTTTTTTAACGTCTCTTTCATGTCTTTGGTGTCTTTCGAAAGGCGACTGATACGTCGAAAATCCTCCAATACAGCAGTAACCACCCCTAAATGCCACTTCCCTTCATTGAGCTAAGACAGTGTCGTAAGCTGCACATATTCAGTATGACCTGCAGCCTCTTTTAGATTTCGAATCTCCTGATCTTAATTCCGTCTTTATTTATGAGGAAAACTCAGCCAGGACTTGACACACAACTGCAGCAGATAATGCCTGATACCTGTACTTCGCATAGAAATCTCTGCCTTTTGGTAGTCGGAGAGTCGGCTGTTTGACGAACTGATCAACAGTGTCACGAATTTGGGAATGACACACTCTCTCTCTCTAAATGTACAAAGAAATGAACACTTCTATGAGTTCCCCACTATGCTCATACATTCCTCCTGAAATAGCACTTTCCCAGCGTGTTTATGCTGATTTTATACAGTACTCTCGAAACTCGGCTCATCTCTGTGGTCACAATCATTAGGGACTATAGACTGTTCATCAACTTTACTGCGAGAGGAGAAATTTACGCTGTTTACGACGGAAACTACGTCTAGACAACATCCAAAAGAAAACAACCAAGGACGTGAGGAAACGAAAGGACGATGATTAGGGGAGGCTAAGAGAAGAACGCTTTAATACACATAGATGGAATAAAAAACAAAGGAAAATATAAACGATAGTCCAGATGTCTTGCTAGGAGCTCATTCCAGGTATTGTTCCCTAGTTGCTAAGCGACTTCCTGAGTAGGTTCAGGACCCGCAGCTTCGCGACAAAAGAGAATCTCCTGCTGACACCAGCCTCACCAGGCTTCTGAGATATGGCGGTGCTGGGTTGGGCTGTAGGCGGAGCTGTGAGGTGGCATATGCCACCGGCATATGCGACCACCGGCCCCCTCTAACCACCACCGCAAAAAAATTGTGCGGGGGGACGCCAACTTGTTGTAGATTTTGACACCCCTTTACGATACCGATTTTCACCTACACAGCGCATCCCCGCGAAACAGCACTGCATTACTCTTAAATGTGGCACATCGCAAACCCAAAGGGCGTCTTACTCCAGGTGACCTCACCTTCAAAATGAAATGGTTTAAAGGCGTCACGCGCAGTGCTCACTATCTCGAACAGTGCAATGGACAATAACACACATTAAAGCCACGATTAATGAATTTCGACCTCATCTAAGCTAAAATTCACATAGCGGTCTAATATATCGTAAAAATATTGCCTGTTTTACACTCAGAAATTTAATTTTACTTTACTCCCATTACTGGTTTCGAGCTTTTAAGAAAACGCGTGGTGTCTGGATACTTTCTATGTTCCGAGCTGAAGGGGCTGTGGCCCACCTACCCACCCTGCCGTCCCCACCTTTGAGGGGGCCATGTGTTAGCAGAGTCGCTCTGTATTCAATCCTGCTATGAAGAGTATTCGGCGTACTCCAGTCTAACACTGATTATCCCTGGTTGCAGATGACAGAGCGCAATGTTGGTAGTTCGGGAGCTGGAGCTTTTGGTCAGTCCATTTCAGCTAATTTTAGGAAAGTTAGCACGCACCTTTGAAACCCCTTTTTGTTGCACGTGGAGGAAGTGGTAAAAAAATTGGAGAGGGACTAGCATCAAAGAACTACAAAGAAAATATTAAAAACTGTACACATAAATAAAGTGTTTCATACGTCAAGAGAATTGGAAGCCAAGTATACTCACGTGGGTGCGTAATACAGCGGTTACTTGAGGCATCAATAAGCCCCGGGGAAAGCGATATGATCCGTGGTCTGCAGGCGTCGTGGCGAACGCCGTGTGCCGACGTTTGTGTACTAGTAAATTACATGAACAAACGTTACTTAAAGATCCTCAGTAGCATCCCGAAAGCAATAAATTGTTAACATGAGGAATCAAGACGATAGCGGTCGGATGGCATTGTGGTGCACAGCAATGTTGCTTTTGCCTCCTTTTAAAAGTTACAATGGGTGCAGACATAACAAAATTCCCAGAAAAGGCATTCCAAGCTTCATTCAGTCTATTGGAGAAGAAAATCACCCGTATATCTGGCCTAAAATCAGTCACACGTAGTTTGAGTGCATGACCTCTCAAGTTAGTTGTAGTCGCCAACTCGGAAAAGACTCCAGATACGAGACAGCAGTCCTGGTCGCGTAGAATGCGGAAGGCTTATATCAGGTCACCCCGTAGCTGCCTGTAACTGATAAGAGAGGGATCGAGATTAACTAATCGTCTTACGTAGGGCAGCGAGCCCTGTCGTGTTACGAGATTGATTGCTCGCCGCTGAACTTTTTCGAGCATGCTGAGGTCTTTAGCGGTCTCCATACCTGGATGGCAAACTCCGGATGCAGCCACACAAGAGTTCGAAAGACCTTAGAGTGGCGGTCTTCATCAAAGGAGGAGAACGATCGTTTAATCAGGTATTGGATGGACATCGCCGAATTGGCTATCCTTGAGGTGAGCTGTAAAGGCTCGGGCTAAATTGTGATCACCACACCCAAGTCCATCTGAACGTTCACTTCTCTCAGTGGTATGCCAGTCAGGCGGTAGACCATGTGACTAGGAGAACTGGTTCCACTGACGCGTATAAAGTTACACTTGTTTACGTTAAACGATAAGTCAGTCGTCTGACCATTGCTCGAGTTGGTTTAGGTTTGCCTGCAATCGCATTTCGTAAACTTCATTTTGTATGGTAATACAGATCTTATTATCATCGGCAAACACTGCGACATCGCAATCCAGTTTGTTTGCTTAGTTGTTCATGTATACATTGAACAGAGTGGACCAAGAACAGAGTCGTAGGGAACACTACTCTTAACGACAACCTGCATCAACTGCTTGTCACTGACACGGACAGTTGGAGAGCGGCAGATTAAAAGGCTTCAAATGCACGTCAGAAGCTTATCTCGCACTCCAATACGGCTGAGTTTGCACAGAAGGCGGTTGTGAGATACATTATCGAAGGCCTAATCTAAGTCGATATAAACCGCATGCACCATGTTCCCTCTATCAGCAGCCCGAGTTCAGTGTTCCAGACAGTAGAGCAAGTTTGTCACACAGGACCTGTCTCTGCGGACTTCATGCTGGAGGTCGGAAAGAAGATTATTTGGCTCCAGACACTGAATTAATTGTTGCTTAATTATTTTCTCCATACGTTTACAGCAGATGGAGGTGAGTAACATCACTGACAAGGACAAGGGAGACTGGAATGGCCATTTCTGGCTTATTAGCCCTCGGCAGCCAGCCATACACAACTCCGCAATGTGGAACACCTGAGGCTCGATCCCGCGAGGTTGCCTATATCATGCATCGCTGTGCGGCTGCCGGTTTGATCCGAGAGAGAGAGCCCTACAGCACAACGGGACGAGCGAGTTCCGTAAAAACGATCAGTGAGCATAGGGAGTGGCTTTGCCAAATCACCGCCGAGTTCCTTCAAGATCTTCGCCGGAATCTCATCAAAGTTCTTTCGAGAATCGTCAAAGGTTTTGGGACACATGGCATTTAATATAATGGACGGAACCGCCGACAATGTCTCCAGTCCGGCTTCTTCGGAGCTTCGAGTTCACATCAAAAGCTTGCCTCGCACAGAAGGCGATATACCTTCCATTAATGGCCCGAGTCCAGTGTTCCAGACAGTAGAGCAAGTCTGTCACACAGGATCTGCCTCTGCGGAATCCATGCTGGAAATCAAAAAGCAGATGGCTTTATTCAAGCAACTGCTTAAATCGTCACTTAATTGTTTTTTCCATACTTTTGCAGCAACTGGAAGCGTGGCTGACCGGTCTGTAATTGTTTGCGAAGACCCGACTGCTGTCCTCATACAGCGACCTTGGAAGAGTGATAGGTCTTCCGAAATCCGCTCCATGGGAGTGTTTGTACTTGATTCAGGGAACCTCCGAATAATGGGACATTTGTATTTTCGTCTTCTTTTTAATTTTCTATGGATATGTCCTTCCCTAACTAGTGTAACGCTCTGGCACTATATGTTGGTGATGGCGGAGCAGCTGTTCTTTCGCAGCTCGTTTGTTTGACGGCTGTTTTAACAAGCTTGGAAGCAGCACTTGTCAGAGAAGACTGAGAAAAGCAATATGTGGTTCCGATGAATGAATCGGTGCCATTGATCGTGTAGCAGCCGTTCCAGTGCCCCCTTTCTCCGGCTCCGTTTTGACGGTCGATGATCGCGACAAGCGTTGACAGGCCGCTGACATACGACCATCCACACTGGCTAGAATTGGCCCCCCCTGTCCAGCTGCAGTGACTCCCGGCTGCCCTCACAAACTAGTATCACATCACGCGCGTCGAACGCTCTGGCTTGGTACCCATGAGGTCTTGTGAATATGCGCCCTCCATTCCTCCCCTAATTTGTCCAATCACACGACCAACACTCAGACAGTCACCCCCTCCTGCTAACCCAGACACTCACATGCGCGTAAAAAACACTGCGACTGACGCTCTCTGTGAACGGATGCCCTTGGCCGTCGCAATCGTACTGGGTCTATAAAGCTCTAACTTGTCTGAGAATAGTTGAAGTTTTTAGGACACAGACATATACCGTGATGGAAGGGACGGTCGTCGATATCTCCATTTCGGTTTCTTCAGAGATTTCTCCCGGAAGCAACCGTTTGATTTCTTCGGTCTTTTTACGGCCTAGTTTCTCTTTCTCTTGGGTTTCTCGGCTTTCATTCTGGCTGTCTTCATCTCGCTCTATAACTATTCGTTCTGGGGCTGCCGTAACCGGTACAGAAAGCGTTGCTGACATGCCTGTTTTGCGAGGTATATTTGCCTTAATTCTGGTTATTCGTCCAGTAAGTAGATTTGTATTGTTAGCTTTATATAGACTACATCATAACTGAGTTTTCATCGTTGTAATTTATTCCTAAAGATGGTTGACTTTAACAGCCACAATCTGACGTCCACTACAGCTGTTACTTGCATTTTGCGTGTCTATACAGTCAAGGAGACTTTGAAATTTAATTTCCCAGGATCCACTGGATCCTATTTGAAAACTCGGGTGCGCAAGCACTGGAATCGGAGTACTGCTCGGTGCCAGTGGCGACAAAGCCAGAAATGGCAGCTCAAATGTCACTGTGCGTCGTCGGTGCAGCTTTTCAAAGCATATTTACTAATACTTACGCAGGTCATGGTAGACGCCCATGTGAGGACCAGATGCTTGCGCGCCAGAGCACACGTTATCCGGCCCAACATAATGCCCGAATGACGAATGAAACTCTGAGCCTAGCCCTCCACCAGGATCCCCCTCTTCACTGCAACCAGCCACACGGACGTGACGTGTAAACTAGGCGACCTTATGCAAACATTCCGTGTAATGCGCGGCCAGGACTGCTGTCTCTTACCTGCTGAATTCGTTGAGTTAGCAACCACAACGAACCCCCGAGGTCATCCACTTAAACTACGTGTGACTGGTGCCAGGCTGGACATTCGGAAGTTCTTTTTTTCAAACAGAGTGATCGGGGCTTGGAATGCTCTGCCTGCAGATGTCGTCGTGTTCACCTCCGTCGAGGCTTTTAAGCGCAAGTTGGACCAGTGTACCACTAAACGTCATAATGTCACCTGACCGACATCGTCTTAGCATTTCGTTCGAACAGTTTAATGATGTTATTTTATTACTGCCTGTACTTCAGTAACGTTTTTGTATTGTTGTCCCAGGTCCGTTGAATGTGAGTGTTGGCATTCAATTCGTCTCCCTCGGAAACTGAGATAGCGCCAATTATCCACAGACAGACTACTGTACAGCACATTTAGTAACGTTAATGTTTTAACACTTGGAACGATTCGTTTATCCGTCTGGTTTCGAAAACTTTGCCAATCTGAAAAAAACTTCTGTAGCTGTTTGATGTTTCCATTTTCAAATTTTTAATTTAATTCGCTTCCTTGTAACAAATAGGGAGTTCAAAGGTTCAACACCTATGTTTCCCTCAAATAAACTGAAATTGAAACTGAATAGTAGTGATCCCATGACTCCACCATCCTCATTTTTTTACTTCAACAATGCTTGCTGTCCTGACTACAGCATAGGTGGAGAGTGAAAATAACATATGGTAGACTTTCGGGACAGCGTGTGCTTGTAAAAACATGGTTTAAACTGCTCTACGGGAGGCACATTTTTCGCCGTAACCCTCGTCAAACATCTATCACCAAGGCGCACTTACGGTGGGGCCCATAGATAAAACGACACAGGTGTCGGTAAGACCACCAACCTGTCCCCCCTGGCGCCGGCTGTTTCATCTGCTGCTCCTCAGGAGGAGGTCACTAGACACACTCAGACAAGTAAATTCGCTGCATCGACAACGCACCCCGCCAAAATATGCTCCAGTGTAGAGTCATTCCATGCAAAAGAAAGTTCCTGTGCTAGAAGTCACGCAGACAATCTTGAGAAGACAACATTGATTAACGCGGATCTAAGAGGCGCCCGGAAGCGAGCAGTGACAGCAGGATGCCTGAGTCCGGTCAGATGCGCGTGACTGCCATGCTAATTATCGATCAGTCAACGAGCTACGTCAGGCCAGGCGGCGGTCACGCGTTACTGCAAACGTGCGTGAAAAGAAGAGTCGGCTCAGCCTTAAAACGGCGACCTACCAGAGGCATTCACCTGTCCGCCCTCCTGTTTCTAATTACGTAACGTAGCCACAATTCCTCCCATTAACTTGTAGTCAAAACATCCCAGATCTCTCACTAATCGAAAGGGCTTGTCCACTCTGCGTTACTGGACTCCGAATTATGACCTTAAGCCTTTGCTCCATTCTTTCACTCAGGGGCTGAGGAACGTAGTTCATCTATTCACGGCCATCGATTATGCCGACAAAAGTGCACTAAACCTCGATTTACTTCCGTATGAGTTCATTTCTTTTCCAGAGGGTTCGAATCTATACATTCAGGCAAAACTGCACGCATATTCGTTCTTGCGGAAGAGCTGCCGGATGAGAGCGAACGCAGCCTCCATTCTTCCAGGGGAAGTAAAGTCAGACTAGAAGCTGTCCGTACACAGCTGCCGCGTTGCAAAGCCAGTTGGTTACTGCAGGAACTGGGCTCCTACCGCTTTGTGGTTTTTCTGCGGACAGTTGCCAACTAACTATCATCCATGCAATTGCTGACGATAATATCGAGTACGACACTATGATCCTAGCATTCTTACTTCTGACCAAAGTCTGTTTATCATGATATCCAGCAAACAGTTATTGTGGAGCAATGTATCTGGTCTAACACTTCAATAAAAACGCATCACGTCTGTTTTACGTCCAGCATCATGTAGTAAAACTAGCATGGGAGAAAATTCTGTCGAGGGCTGTGACGCCGGCCGCCGCTCGTTGTAATCTCACGCTCGAAAATATGTGGTCCAAAAAATGAGGTTTATAAATTAGGTTGAAGTTTGATCAAATCATTGGAGTGACTGCTTACTACTCAGTACATCAGTTATGTTGCTGTATAATTAGTTGCTACTATTTTCCTGTTCATCGACCTACTGCTAAAATGAGGTTTTTTGGCAATCCGCCTCATGATTACAATACAACCTAAAATTCCAGCGTTTCTTCGCTTCTGGTTCAGAAATGTGACGTTGCGCTATGTCTACGTAGAAATGGCCATCACCACTTGCCATTGGGGTTAGGACAGTGCGTTGAGCATCAATCACAAATGAATTATTTCCCGAAATCGACTAACACTAGTCATTTATCGTCTTTTACTAATTTCTCGAAGAGTGCAAGTGGCGGACTTTTTGCGACGCGAGACTTCTGTGTTCTGTACAATGGCTGTTAAAAGTAGAAACATCGGAGAACATCTGAAGAGATCGAAGGCCGCAAAGATCGTGGCTCATGAAACTTGTGAGGGAAAACCGAGCTGGAGAGAGAAAGAAGGATCTGCACATATAGAGAAAAAGAGCAGTACTATGTACGTTATCTCTCAGAAGCAGCAGCACATGTTCCATCGAGCGAGATGTGGCGTTTGGAATTTTCACGGAGTCCAGTTTCCAGTACTATAAGGAATCCGTTACTGTTTGCATACAGGAAGCTTCGTAGAAAATCGCTGCTGACGAATCACCACTGGGAACAGCTAAGGCGTTGGGTAGAAGATCAGGTCACCAGGACGGATCAGTGGTATGATGTAGTTTTCTCCAATGAAAGACGCTTACCCTGGACACTTCGGACGGTTGTAAATAGTACTGACATGGCCTGCGGAAGGAGCCCAGTCCCTACAGCAGACAGTTATTTAGAGGTGGCGGTTTGCTAATCTGAGGGACCCTCATTCCGCGCAACAAGTTGAGATTGGCGTTTTTACAGAAAAAGTAGTCTATCCAGTCATCCATTCAGAAACCTGCTCATCTGTTATCTTCTATGTGCCAATGTAGCTGCGAACGTCGGATGCTTCAATAAGAAGATTGTAGTATAAATGCCACCCAAAAGATGAATGAGTGGCTAAGATGCAACCAAATTTTTACACTGGTCTGGCCATCTCTGAGCCACTAATTATAACCCAGTTGGGAATCTATGGAGACTATTACCCTTGTAGGTTTACTGCAACGATCGAACTAACCGGTTGACTGATCGAAGGATCAGCGATCATGGGATGCTTTAAATAAAGTAAAAGTTGAAAGTTTAGTTGATGGCACAGATAAACATTGCGCTGAAATCATGTATCGAAATGGAGACTATATATTCTTATTTTGCCAACACAATATTAGTGACATTATAATAATGGAACAGCCCTTTTGCAACCATTCTCATTACCTGACCTTGTAGTGAGCTATTTGGGCATAAAATTCTGTTCGCACTAACGGTTGTCGCCTCTTATTCACCAATGTAAAAACAGGCCAATCTAAGCAAGCCTGACGCAATTTTGATCAAACAAGTGGTCACATAATTTTGGCGCAGAATGTGTTATGAATCATTATGTTTTACTCCGAAAGGAAACTGTGGATGCCTGCCGATTTTTGTCATCTGTAAGTTTGCCTTCCCCCCCCCCCCTCCTCCTCCTCCTCCCCTTCTGCTGCTCTCGCACTGTCTTCCTTGTCATACCCGTTGCCCGACGCTCATAATTCTGAACGCCACACTTTGTCATGGAGTTTGACTGCTAGCATACAACTCCTCTTATCTTGAAGTTTATACGCTGATTCTCCATTAGGGCGGTCGATTTCACGTGGGCGATCGAGTCAGGGTGGGGGAGGTGAGAGTTCAGTAGATGCAGCGCAAGTCCGCCATTACTATGAACTAGTTCACACGCAGGTCGCCGTCCCTGTACTCACCCTGCCTTGGACCACACGGAAGACGTCGTCACAACCTTTGTGGCAAACGAGGACATCCAGGAAAGTCCAGCTGGTTGTTTTCCTCCTTGTCCGGGAAGACGGCGTTAAGATGTTCTTTGAATGTCAGCACCTGACCCCGTTTGATGACGACGAAGGTGTCATCCACATACCGAGCCCAGAATTTCGGTCTGTGCTGTCGGAAAACCGGCGACTCCAGCTGACACCAGCCGACGTCTTCCGACAGCACAGACCAAAATTCTGGGCTCGGTATGTGGATGACACCTTCGTCGTCGTCAAACAGGACCAGGTGCTGACACTCAAAGAACATCTCAACGCCGTTTTCCCGGACATTCAATTTACGACGGAGGAGGAGGAAAACAACCAGCTGGCCTTCCTCAATGTCCTCGTTTGCCGCAAAGATTGTGGTGGTCTAAAAACCAAAGTGTTCAGGAGAGCGACAAACACGACGCAAATACTGAACTTCAATAGCAACCACCCAATCAGTCACAAACGCAGTTGCGAAAGGGCGCTAAACCGGCGCGTTGAGACGCACTGCAGTGAAATGGAAGACAAGGTTGCTGAATTACAATATCTTCGACGGGTAATGAGAGCCAATGGTTATCCGCGCAACTTTGTCAACCAGTGCATACGAAAAGGACACCAGAGACCAAATCCAACCGGCCCCAAATTTTGGCGGGCTCTTCCGTACGTGAAGAACGTCTTGGAAGCCGTCAGTCGTCTTCTCACTCCACTTGGAGTTGGGGTTGCACACAGGCCGGAAGCAACCATTAGGCGCCAAGTCACGAGGCCAAAAGACCCGCTGCCACGGCAAGAAACGTCTGGAGTCGTTTACCGGATCTGGGTGTAGGTGCGAACAAAGCAACTATGTCGGAGAAACTGGGAGATTACTCCGTACGCGAACTGCCGAGCACGCAGCAGCAGTGAGGCGGGGCGAAGCTAGCTCTCAGGTGGCGGCACACTCGACGGGACCCGGTCATATTTTCAAATTTCAAGAGGCCGAAATCCTCGCAAGGGGTGCAACCGCGTGAGCCGCGAGCTGCTTGAGTCATGGTTCTCAGGCCCGCAATTCATCAACAAGCACAATGACCACCCGGTACCCTATTCCGTGCTGAAATTTTCCCTGGGCAGGGGAATCAGTCACGTGGGGAGGGCGCGGGCGAGCAATTATCACAGTGACAGTGAGCCAATTAGCCGAGCAATCGTCACAACAGCATCCAGCACGGATGACGGAATCACGGCCATTAACGACTCGGACTCGGACTGACAAGCCACCACCGAATCAATCACGACTCCAGCGGTGACTGCGAGAGCTGTTAATTGCAGTGCGCATACGGTCCCACGGCAGCCACGTGCTATAAATACTGCACTCCTGTGCCACCACCACCTTTATTTGCGACTGTCATTGATGATGGATTCGAGTGAGAATCCGAAACGTCGACCAAAAAATTTCTTGTTCCAGTGATCGCATCTTCGTCTTCTGAACGGTAGACATCGTCAGCCAAGATGATTGGACTGTCATGTCTGCGCATGGGGTTTCAGCATTTCTATCCATGTGACTTTCATTTACGCAAAATAGTGCATTTGCACCAGTGGAGGGAGGTACCTATTGGTGCTAAAATTTGGCACCAGGTATAGCAGTCGTCATTTACATGCAGATGTTATGGCACATGAAAAGTCATAGTGGTCTTTCAATATGCACAAAATCGGTGAGTATTACAATTTACAGAGGTCCTTTCCTCGAGTAAATAGTACGAAGACACAATTTTCATCAACATTTGTGGAAGAAATGAATTGCTGTTCATAGAAACTAAATGGAGACATGCATACTACTTCAGTTCTTATTTGTTGGCGATTTGTGCTCGTGGCTTTGGAAAGGCTCAAATAAAAGCCAGCGACCTGGTTTGCATAAAATACTTCGTGACAATGCTGCATGCCGACCTCAGTCATGCATTCCTTTCTTTCTGAAACCATACTTTAAAATTGCAGCTAAAGTTTCATGGGTTTCACTCTGTATCCTGGTCGGAGGAATTTCTGGTTGGGTAAAGGAATAAGTATCCCCCCTCTCTTAGAGGATGTCTTGCGCCGAATTCCATGGGGATTGGGGATGGGGTTTGGTGTAGGGTCCAAGTTAGGACACGGAAGTAGATACTCCCTGGAATTTAGGGCAGGGCTGTGGCAGTCTGTTCCTGCAGTTGCCGGCGCGGTCGTTTACTCATGCAGCCTTCAGTCCACACCACGCTCCCTGTCAGTCGATGTGTTGAACCGCATGAGAGTTCGCGCCGGCTTGTCGAGAGCTCGAGGTCAATCGACGCCGAGTCCGTCGCTGATTGGCTGCGGTAGGAGAGCGCTTAGGCGCATACAACCGTCTCGCGCCGCGGACTAGGAACCACAGTGGCTGTCATCCGAAGGGAATATTCGACTTGCTGCCCGTACCCGCAGCAGAAGAATTTGTTCAAACTCTGTTTTCCTTGACTTGTGATTTAAGAATCGGCGCATTGTCGATAAACATACTCCGGTAAGGCCACTTACAGTACGTGGGCTTGCTAGTTCCATGGCTAACCAACCCACTATGGTCTCTAACAAAGTGAGCTTCGTTTTTCTAAAGGATGCTCTGCGACAGTCGAAACCTGGTGCGCCTAGCTTGAAGCCACCAATGTGGGCGTTGCCGCAGAGCATTCTGATGACTAGCCCTTAAGTTTTAAATGGAAATGAGTAGGGCTTCGGGTCGGAGACTGAACAGTGAGACGGGTCACCCAGGTACTTTTTCTTTCTCACGCCTTAAGCTTCTTGGCCTTCATATAGATGAAAGACAGGTAGATTTGTCGTATACGTCTTACCTTAGACCTATTGAAATTACTTAACAAAATTCCAAATGCGCAATTACGACTTCTAACTTATCGAAACAACTTTTCACAATCCATTTATTTGCGCTCCAAGGCGCAGCATTTAAAGTTAGACCTTGTTGGTTGAAATGACCCGCACATCAAACTACTTTCCCGCCTTTGGCCTGACACACTGGCGTCTTAATGCACACCCAGCTCAGCTGCTCGCACTTTAATAGTATATCGATCGATTTTTTATCACCCCAAGCCTTACCGAATACGCACTTTAAACAACACACTGCCGCGTACTTGAGATGGCACCAGAAATTCCGATTGAGAATTTGGCACTGACTGTCATTGTCTGCTCAGAACGGAAATCCATAAGGCGAATTTGGTCGAATCGGTCCATGCTCAGTTAAAGGCACAAACAGTTGTTAACGGGTGCTAAAGAGTGCCTGTCATAGAGAATAAAGATTAATTTATATGTACGTGTATGTAAGAGGCGTTGGACTTCTAACTTACAGGTCGCGGGATAGAGCTCCAGGTGTTTCACACTTCGGGGTCGGGTATGACTGGCTGACGATGGCTAATAAGCTAAAAATGGCCATTCCAGTCTCCCTTGTCTTTGTCAGTAATAATATTGTGCATATATGTATATATGTATACTTATCGATATTTGTAAAGATTCGAGGTCCAGACATTGTATCGCATTCATCGTCTCCCAAAGAAGACGAAGAAGAAGAGACGACGAATTCATGGACCATATTGTATTCGAACTGACGTTTCGCAAACTTCCTCGTTTCCATCATCCGAGTAACGTACTTGATGCTCCTGCCGGTCTTGAGTTGTTCAGTCTTGCCGCTTGCCTCGTATTATAGCCGTGCTGGACGCACGAACTTTGACCTACCTGCTTGCCACTGACTGGCTCAGACCTCCCCGGGTCTGACCGCTGACAGGCCTGCGTGACCTTTCTTCCCTTTGGGGTCGGCGTAATTGTAGTCAAATCAACGTGCCGGTTGGCCTCTCCTACGTCAGCCGGTGGACTGATGGGTCGTTGCCGTTCATGTGAGCAGCATTCAGCTTCGCGGGCGCATCGGTGATACAGTGTTCGGCTTTGGTCACATGACCGCTGGCCCCCAATTCCGCTCTTTTCCGTGAGCGTCGACTCTCGGTCCCACGTGCTCGCTTGCCTTACTGGTCCTGTCCGGACTGATCCGAGCCTTGCACGCAGCGCCTGGTAGGTGGGATGTAGATCTATAGCTCGGTTGAGTGTGCCACTCGAGGACCAACTTTCGAGCACCAGTCTGGCCATCTTCTCATTGGCTCGACGAATCACCCTCGCTTTCTCAAAGGCAAAATCCTGATTCATTTCTCGTATGTGGCCATAGACCAAAGACAGCTTGTCCATGCGGTTGATTGCACGCACACTAACTCCGCACTGTCACTGTGGAAGTCAGCATAAACAAACATAATTGTGTGTGGGGTTAATTTTGATGCCGTAGCATAAACATGTGCAAGTACCGCGCTTGAACGTACGATGGGGATCGGTGAAAAAAGAGGCGGAAATTGAGGTGCCTGAGATATTAAAAAAGCGCGCCTCGGCATTCATACCTCAACAAACTCCTGCCTGACAGCGTCCGTGTTTTTTGGCGAGTCAGATGTCACAGCACGTGTTCAACCCTTCCTGTTTATGCGAAAATGTGGGGGCTATCGTCTCCAGCTGCATTGTTTCAACCTATGCCGCGGGTGAGATTTTCTGGATAGTACGTCATTATATGTTCAAGCGCTTCAGACTTAGTACAGTGAGGAATGCACTGATTTGCCATGGGGTTAAATCCCAGACAACCGACCTCACCTACTCTTTCCTCGCTCATGCACTATTCGACTGTCAACCCGCTCGTGCTAAGATTGAGCGCGGTAACTGACGCAGCGTGAATGCCTACGTCTAAAGCCTGGAACCAAGGTTATGGACTCGTGCGATCTCAGCACAGACCGATGAAAGCGTACCATGAGCAAGTCAGATCACACTTTTTGCCCAGCGGATCTGCAGCGCAACCTCATATGTGCGTCGCGCGATAGCAACAGTTCGACCGTCGTGACCGTCCACCGTGTGCTCCACAGCAGGGTGTGTGCAGGCACAATGATGTACGAGCGATTTCTTTTATGATAGTGGACTTGCGATGCATCTACCGCACTCTCTCCTCCTTCCCCACCTGAGTCTGATGTGGAGACATAGTGAAGAAGGCCGAAAGCTGGAGAGGGCGCAGATGGTTGGTGCAGCTGGGCCCGCGCCTAGGCGTACCACCACACCCCCTCCTGCACAACAAACATGTGGCCAGGATTTTAACCAACAGCAACAAGAGCTACGGTCGGTGCGGCCGAGGCCTGCCGCCACCCCCGACCCGGATTCTACGGAAAGAGGGCTGTACTATAGAGATCACATTAAGAGGGGGCCACTGTGGCCTGACTCTCAGTCCACAACACGCGAGCACAACTGGGCTGACTGCGAGGACTGAGTTGGAGAGTCACTTAACAACCTCTCAAACCACGGCACTTGGTGCGCCGTGATAGTCTCGGACTCGGATCACACATGCACTCGATGAGCTTCTAAGAAGACATTATATAGGACTCATATAGTTTTAGGATGAATATGGACAATGCCATGTATTTCGTAAGCAGCTTTGCTAAACTGACAGATATGCTGCTGTATAGATAAACATTTCACTGTCCCAAATAACCTTAGGATCGGAAATTTTTTTACACCGAAAGATACCTTTTTAACATCATAAAAGTAGACACAGACGTACTTTGCCTCCGAATGAGTGCGAGAAAATATTTTTTGTGCATTTTATTTATAATGCATATAGGAGTTTATAAGGGCATCGGAACTCAACGGGGGAAATACAGGCTGCTTACGTAGCTTTTTTAACGAAAATGGTGTGTGCAGGCGGCCGAAAAGGAACTCATTCAAAAGCCAGCACCTGATGTTACCAGAAAGTCTTGGGATTGGGGCCCATGACAATCAACATTAAAACATCTCCCGAGTAATTCTTTCTAATCGAAAACCCACTTCAGAATATCGGCTAACTTTGCATGAGATAGGGCAGATAACGTAGGCATGAACCGAATTACTGGTCTCACTTGACAATCCATAGGGCACTGAGCCGGATGTTACTTTATGCAAAACAGCACTTATCCACTGCAGTCCTCGGACTTCAAGGGGTTTTGCTTGGAAGCTTCTCAGGTCCATCAGGAGTATTTGACGAAATGACAGTCTTGAAGCCATCCACTTGGGGAAGATTGAATTTTCCGAAAAACCATCCCTGCCGAAAAAACACTCCCAGTGACTCAAAATCGTTGAGACATTAGCAGAAGCAACCCGCACTGCAAACTCGAAAACCTACTGCGCAAGGCTGTAGACACTAAAAAAAATATTAACGTTCACTATTTGGAGTCGCCCGAGGAAAACTGAAGTCTCCAAATACTCATCAGCAGAGCGCAATAAAGTTTTTCTTTGCAAACTTTCCTATTTCGAGATCCCATATAATGTAATTCCCTGAGCACTGTTTAGGCACTCATCTCACCGAATTATTCTTTGCGCCAAAGGGCGACCTTCACTGCATACGGGCCTCGAGTTCTATATTTTTATTGGCTTCTAATGAATAGTGTTTAAAGTTCAAATCCTAATACAAGGAAGGAACGACTTTGGCCTATGGACTACTTCAGGACTCAGAGCAGTTCACTGATCTGGTAAGGCCTTTTGAGACTGCCCATATTGCGATTAGAAATTGGATTAGTCATAACAGATTGGTCGAATTGTTAACTGCGTTCATTTGCGAATGCCCTATAGCTGTAGTTAGATACCAGAAACGCTCAGTCTTCCATATGAGGGAATTTCTTCAGTTGACCGAATGCTGAGTGGTGATCATTAAAGGACGACCTCGTGCAGGGTCATGTGCAGGCCAGTCCACTTTCTTCGATAAAGTCCTCGGCTTTATTGTATGCATGCACCAAACTGAGTCACGTGCAAAACGGACAGCTTTTAATCTATCAGAAGCGCTGACATCGGGTTAAGTTGGTGACGCGCGCTTTCATGAAGGCGATGAGCGCTACCAGTGTACTGCCTGCGGCAGTGTGACAACCGCATGTCGCCCTGGCACGCGTGGCCAGCCGTAGGTCGTGCACTAGGTCACGCAGAACTATCTAGTCGAGTGGCAGATACCCATAGTCCGACCAAAAGTGCACCGCCCCCACGGTCACCACTTTTGTTCAAATTTCGGCATGAAGCTGCCTCCCTCCCCTCCCCCCCCCCACCCCTCCGCTGACAGTTGACGCAATCTTGTTGACGAAAGTTCGACGGCCGAACTCTGGACTTCGACTCCGAGCTCGAGTGACTTGTCACAATGTTCATTTTTGGGTTTTTACATCGAAGTCAGCAGTTGGGGGGTAGGTCTGCGATACCGGGCGATTCGTTCGGTTGCTCGACGAGCGAAAGACTTCGAAGCCCGTAACTTTAGAATTTTGAAGTCCGTTGCGGTGTGTAAAGTCATATAATCAGGTCTTCGCAGAGCCGTTTTTGGACATTTATGCCTTCCTTTGTGTCTCTGAAAAGCCGCTCATGTCTCCTACTTTTCGCAGACAAGCTTGCTGGACTGGCAAAGTGGACTTTTTAGCATTATCAGGCCAGATCTCTTTTCTACGGACCACAAAATGGAGCGTTTATTTTATTATTACTTACAGAGACTATAACAATCATACATGCTACATTTCCTGTGCCATAGGTACCTTCAAGGAAAATGATAATCCTCAGTAGAAGCCTATTTCTGGCTTGGCATTTTGACTGCAATCAAGACAGACTGTCGTCGTTAGTCGGTGCATTCACTCGCCACCTTGTCAGAATGTCTGTGTTCGAGCCCTAAGGGAGTTCCGTGGTATAATGAACAGTGTCTGTGTGGCCTGTCTGGAAATTTCACTGGTATGAAATCCGAGCCGCCCTTACGACGAGGTTGCGTGCGGCACGCGTAGGCGGGCGGGTTAGCTTTGTTAGCCCCTGCGTCCACGCTCACCTCCGATCGTCTTACCAAGGTCTAACCGTCGGACAAGATGGGTGAAGGAAGTGAGAGTGTGGTAGGCGCGACGCAAGTCTTCCTCATTAGGTCACTAGTGCAACGCCACTTTTGCGCGGCACGCGATGAAAGCTGTCCTTTTGCGGCCGTCCAGCCGTCAAAGCCTTCTTTTGTCAACTAATCTGTCGCGGCTTGAGCGCCCGCCCCGTCGATACTTCCCTGGCGATGTTCGTCAATTGGTGCCAAAACTAAATTATTGCTAATGCAGATTTCACACAGGAATTCTGTTCTCAGGTCTATTTAAATGGTAAAGGAGTAAACGGTTTTGAACACTCACAAGCATTTGCGAGTTGAACACTAGCCATTAACCGAGGTGCATTAATGACAACGGAGAGGAAGATTGTTGTAAGAATTTCTCGCTTACATGCGTCTTTAGATCCCTTTCCCAGCCACCCAAATGCCTCTTGTCCTAATCCCTCATAACTATACATTATTGACTTCCTGTTTCCCTCCGATCACCGGCGTGGGTTCTAGAACTGAGTTCAAAAGGGAAACGGTATGGCCGCATTCACTGCTGTAGGTCGGGGTGTGACTATTATACCCCGTCTCCCGACTCACGCCAGTACCTCAGTTGGTAAGAGGCTTGACTTATTGACCAGCTAACCTCGGTTCTTTACGCCGTGGAAACTGGCCGATGAGGACAGATGAGTCGGAGGCGGCCACCGCCGTCTTAATCGGTAGTGTCTTCTAATTTTATACTAATTCCACCTGCTGACCTGACTGGTTTTTAAAGATCCGTCTGAGTGCTTGGATGGGACCAGGTTTCTTATGCACGAACTCTTGCTAGTGATCTGGAACTTCCTCCTTTGACTTTACCGAAATGGATCATAACTTTATCAGTAGTTTGAACTGTGTTTTAGACTTCGTAAACTCCCCATGTGTGATCTAAGAAATTACCCTAGATACAGTCCAGCAGATCTCACTCGCGGCATAGGCCGAAACAATGAAGCTGAAGACGTTAGCCCCCACATTTTCATATAAACAGGAAGGGTTAAAAACATGCGGTGACACCTGACTCACCAAAAAATTCGGACGCCGCCAGACAGGAGTTAGTTGAGGTATGAATGCCAGGGCGCGTTTTTTGATATCTCAGCCAGCTCACTTTCCACCTCTTTTTCACCGATCGCCGTCGGACGTTTAAGTGCGGCACTTGCACATGTTTATACTACGGCACCAAACTTAACCCCACACAATTATGTTTGTTTATGCTGACTTCCACAGTGACAGTACGGAGTTATTTTGGCCTGTCTAAATCAGCCTTCACGGTTCTAGTGCTGGCGATCTGCACGTGAATTACATAAGCATAGAGTAGGCGCGCGCTACGTTGGGCAGCATCCTCTCCTCTATCCGCGCGTTGGCCGAGATGGTTTGCCCGCCCTAACCGACAGTGGTTATATTAGCCGGATTGGGTTTAGGATTTCAGCGACCGGTGGATCGTTTTGTTGGTAGCTGTTACGGCGTTGCCTGAGATGTCTTACGAGGCAAGGAGGGTCAGTGCCGTAAGCCAGACCAGGTACACTCCACCTGCGAAAACTGTCGCCATACCAACCGGCTGACAACTAGTGTGCACGATCAGGCTTAGATACCTTCACATCCACCGCAATTGCAAACTTTTCAAATCACGCCTTTGACTGCAGCCGCCGGGTTCGGTCTAAGTTGCCCTGGTCGGACACTTCGACAGTCGTCCCAGCAGGTACTCCATCCGTGGTGGGCCATGACAATTTTCAGTCCTCTCTGCTGCCTACGCAATCAACAGCTCGACCGTCGTGCCCGACGATGTCCACCGTGTGATCCACGGCAAGATGAAACGTCACGGTGAATTGTGCGTTATATGTTTTATAGTGAGTGTGGACTTGCGCAGCATCTGCCGCACTCTCTCCTTCTCAACTCCCCTGTTACGGGCAGCCATGATGGCCAGTCTGGCGTCCTTATCCAAGGCCTCGCTGCCTCATGGTCATTCAGCCCTTGCAGCACGCCATTCCAGACGCGCTGACCTGAAACCACTCAACCAACTTCAGCTGGGAAACACTGCGTCCACGCACTCCCAACTAGTCATGCGCCCATTTAAGCGCACCTTCCCCCTGAATCCACAATCTAAACCACTGGGACACCATCCCTCGACCCACGAGCCTACAAAAGCGGTTGCCACCACTGACCCAGGGGTTCTCATGCATGACTGGTCTCAGGCATGTCATCGGTTTCGAGTATCCGCGGACAGTTAAGGGACAGTTGAGTGTTTGCTAGGCGTCGTTTTGGTGCTCTTTCGTCCTGCGTCCGCTCGACAATACATTTAGCATCTTCCTGGCCGACGTACGTGAGATGTGGCCATCCAAACCCACCAATATTCATTTAGACTTCATAATCTTGTCACAGGCATTTTGTCCAAATGTCTACTGTCAGAGATTTTGTTCCGCCATTTAATTAAACCAGGGCAACTGAGAATGACTTCTCTCCCTCTGTCTCGTCTAATAGCTGGATGGTAGTGTATGTTTCTACGAAGGAAAAAAATTGTATACTTTTTGAGCCTTCTAAGTAAACTAAGGCCATGGTGATTCCCTGCTGAGGACTGAAGTTCATCAAATGTTCCACCAACTTTGAAACTCCACAGGCAGCCTTGTCGACTCGTGACGCAGAGCGTAGGCTGTCTTCCCTGGCATGCTAACCAATCCCCGTCGGTGGGGCAGTGGCTCTTGTCTTGGTGTACTTACTGCTTTGCGCTGCTCACGAACACTACCCATCGATTAAAATTTGCACTTTTGAGAGCGAGGATTACCAAATCCCGATGCATTCCTGCTTCTGCACTTGTGATTACTCGCTGGTCTGCGGTTTCGCACTGTAAAGCTCTGGTAACGACTTTCATTCACCGCGTCTGTCCTACTTCCACTGTTTATCCCTCAGCCCTGCAGAGGGCGCCAGACGGTGTCGTATAAGAGTAAAACGTGAAGAACAAGCACTGCTCTCGCCCGATGTTTCGGATTCCCTCCCGAACCATCACCAGAAATGGCAGAAGATAAAGATGAGGGGAAGTTTACCTGGGTTCAGAGTTTGAAGGACACAGTAACCCTGTCACTACAAACCCGCCGGTATTAACAGTGTGATTATGGGCTGTTTGCCCGCATACGAGACTGCAGTGGACGCGATTTAGTACCTGATGATGATGATGATGATGATGATGATGGGCCAGACAATTACTCGATAATTTGTTTAACCAACACTGCCAGTGAAAGCACTTCAGAAGAAGAAGAAGATGCGATCACTGGAGCGAGAAGTTTGCTGCCCTGACGTTTCGGATTCTCACTCGAACCCATTACCAGAGCGACCATCTCTGATGGGGGGTTGAGTGAGAATCTGAAACGTCAGGCCAATAAGCTTCTTATTACGGTGATCGCATCATCATCATCATCATCATCATCATCATCATCATCATCATCATCATCATCATCATCATCATCATCATCATCATCATCATCATCATCATCATCATCATCATCATCATCATCATCATCATCATCATCATCATCATCATCATCATCATCATCATCACCACCACCACCACCACCATCATCATCATCATCACCACCACCATCATCATCATCGTCGTCATCATCATCATCATCATCTTCTTCTTCTTCTTCTTCTTATTATTATTATTATTATTATTATTATTATTTTGAACTGCTTCCTGGAACTCGCCTGTTCGTTTATATCACCTGAAAGCACTTTTCAACAGCGTGTTCCTCGTGTGGCCGATTGTACTGGCCAGGAAAAAGTTTAGTACAGAGGAAGGCATCATCGTGCATGCTGATGAGCCACGGACCAGAGCGTGGATCGAAAACAATAAGTGGCCGTCGCAAGTGGTGACTTCCACCGCGTGTCCATTGGGGTGGGTGCAACACAGGCGAATTGCGCAGATAAGGGTCTGCGACTCTCTCTCTCTCTCTGATGATGGGTTCGAATGAGAATTCGAAACGTCAGGCCGACGAACTCCCTGTTCCAGTGATCGTATCTCCTTCTTCTGATTCTCTCCTCCCTCGTCCGCTTATGTCAGGACTACTGGAGGCAGGTTCGGACGCAGTGGCTGACAAAGCCTAACAGCCCTCCTACGCGTTCCATACACGACCCGGACGTTTGTGAGGGCGACTCAGACCCAAAACGCGTAGGAGTGCTCTTAAGACCACATCAAGAAGTGTGACTCTCAGTCCTGGGAAGGGCCGAGTTGATGATCATCAAATACACGAGAAGTAGCGCGTTGTGACACGCCCAAACATATCAGATTTCTTAGTGGTGAGGAATACGTTGATAAGAAGTGAGAATGGATTCCCCACAGTCGGTCTCAATCTATCTTCCTTCTACCACGCACCAATCCACTGAGATTGGACGAAGTACCTTCGACTTAGGCGTGCAACACATGTGTACGGCAGTATTTACGGGCTCATGGGCCTCCGCACTAGTTCATGAACGTTTGCCGCAAGCCAGTCTAAGTCTCCTTTTCGTCCATGACATCTGTAGCGCTGCAAGCTCTGGTGACCGTGTCTGCAGATACTTAACAAAGACTATTTATTCCAGTAGCACTCGTAGAACGCACTGAGAATGGAGTTCTGGCCCTCACATGCTGATAAACTGCGCAGTAGCGAGGGCTTTGTCAACATATCGAAGTCAGAAGTGCCATTGCAGACGGGAGCATAGCTCAGTGGTAGAGCATTCGACTGCAGATCGAGAGGTCCTCGGTTCAAACCCGGGTGTTCCCTCCGCCCGCTTTTAACTTCATCTCGAATTTCACAATTCGAATTGTTGGCACACTTTATGTATCTCCATATAGTTACATGTCTTGCTACTATAATGGGCATCGATATAGTCACGACCGTTTTGTACCCATAAGGTTTTTCTTGCGAATATTTTAGCATAGTGAGGTTAAGAGGGGCGTTGCTGACGGCAGCGTAGCTCAGTGGTAGAGCATTCGACTGCAGATCGCGAGGTCCCCCGTTCAAACCCGGATGCTCTCTTCGCCCGCTTTAACTTCCTCTCGTATTTCCTAATTCGCCTTCTTGCTGCATTTCCCGTATCTCCATACAGTCACACATCTCACCGAAATTTCAATTGACATGTTTGTTAGTGCTGGGTTTTGTGAAGGAAAGCTTCAGCCCGTTTGGCAGGTGCTTTTTCAAGTATGCACGGTTTATAAGGCGTCTTTAAAACAATCACAGTTAACGAGGCAAGTAAATGGATCACACTGGGCCGACTGTTCTATTTGGCATATGGCAACGCTGAAAAAAATCGAATCTCCTTTCTCAACTGAACAGAACGCCCCCATTCTCCTCAGTAACCCCTCTCTTGCCTTTTCCCCCCGAATATGTACTCATAGTTCTAATCTAGGTATTCCCTGGCAGTGGAAATGTGGGAGGCGGAAGTTTTACTTGTGGCGCTAAACTAGGACTGGTTGCAAATGGAATGCTGGTCATCGCATGCTGCAAAACTGCGCAGTACTGATGAGTTCGTTGGTATGGACGGGGCTAAGAGTGGTGTTGCAGACAGGAGCATAGCTCAGTTGTAGAGCATTCGACTGCAGATCGAGAGATCCCCGGTTCGAACCCGGGTGCTCCCTCCGCCGATTTTAACTTGCGCTCGGATTCCACAATTCGCATTCTTGCCACATTTTATGCATATCCATACGGTTACATATCTTGCCGCTACTATGGGCATCAATATCGGCACGACTGTTTTTGTATCCATTACGTTTTTCTTGCGAATGTTTTAAGCCATCTTTTCCATCTGTATTCCTTCTTATTTCAACTTCATAATGGCAGAAGTATCAAAACGAAAAAGCCATTTTTGAGGTTTCCTTCAGCACAGCTGTATAGTTACATTTTGCAATTGTCGTTGTAATTGCCGCATGTGCTTTCAGTGGTTGACCTGGCTGTATGATGCTTTATCCTACTTGAGTCACAGGCCATTCGCCTGTCCCTTTCCTTTTCTTTAGGTTACTCTTCCACCGTTCTGGCCCTCTCAAATGGTGATCGCCATTTTAAACCACCTGTCTTCTGACCAAGACTTTGTCATTTTACTCCTCTATTTACCTCAAACACTGCGCATGCTGTACGATTAGAAACCTGTGCCGGCTGATTAACGAGTTATCGAAATGTATGACATTCAAATAGTCTTGGCTCATCTTAGGTGGACAGAGATCAGCAACGTGGGTTCTGTTGCAAGCAAAAGTGCGTTCAAATTCCAGCGAAAGAATAGTGACCGACGAGTGGAATGTTGGTCACTGAATGCTGCCAAACTGCGCAGTAGCGAGGGCTTTGTCAACATGTCGAAGTCAGAAGTGCCATTGCAGACGGGAGCATAGCTCAGTGGTAGAGCATTCGACTGCAGATCGAGAGGTCCCCGGTTCAAACCCGGGTGCTCCCTTCGACTGCTTTTAACTTCCCCTCGGATTTCACAATCCGTACTCTTGCAGCATCTTCTGTGTCCAAAATATCTGCAGCTCGGTCTGTTTTGGACGTCATATCTTAAATTCTTTTTCAAAAAACACTATTTCCTCGATGTGTACGCGCAGAGCGGATTGACGAACTGATTGCTAGCAATCGCATGTTGCCGAACTTCGCAGTAACGATGAGTTCACCAGCATAGCGAGGCTAAAAATACCCTTGCGGACGGGAGCATAGCTCAGTGGTAGAGCATTCGACTGCAGATCGAGAGGTCCCCGGTTCAAACCCGGGTGCTCCCTCCGCCAGCTTTCAACTTGCACGCGGACTTCATGATTTTCCTTCTTGCCAGGATTGTAGTCCGGCATGTTTGTTACCGCTGCCTGGATCTCATACCTTTTCCCCGCACTTCAAGTAAATAATTTTTTTACCAATGTCCTATGGGAGAATTCGTCAAAACATTCTTTGCCAGGCTGAAAAGTAGGTGTCGCAGACTGGGTCGACTACTTTGCTTTTCATATGAGATATCTGTTGAATTCTTTTTTTACAGGTCCTTCTATCATCCTGCGGATGGCAGTGCAGTTCGACTGGTGTTCGACTTATTTCTGAGCATTAAAGTGGCGGCAACTGACCTCTGACTAACCGCTGCACTCAGTAGCCTTCACGACTGATGGCTGCAGAATGGCCTTGTGAACAACGATTGGCTCTCTGGCGACCCTGATCTCACTTAGGTCATAAGGCCATACAGGTCACACTAAGAAGGGGCCACGGCAACCTGACTCTCAGTCCTTAGCATGATCGGACAAGCCTGGCAGTTGGCAACTTTCAAAGCCACGACTTATAGCACCATATGCTGTCATGTGGCGACCCCGTGACCTTTGTTGGGCGTACGATTTCCGTGTAAATGAGCAGGCGCACTTTCTTCCACATATACCAAAGTTGATAAAAAAAAATATCTGTAAAGGTAAACCAGCCGATCTACAGATTCGCAGCCGCACACAGGGAAAAATGGCGTTTGCCGATTAATTTAACGGCTGCGGTCAAGGCCGCACTCTCTGTGCATCTTGTTGCCGTTAGGCTTGGACGGTGGTTTGGGCGACATGAGGCAGTGTTTGCTATCTCGGGTCTGCAGAACACAGTGGGGCGTGATGAGCAGCTACAAGACTCTCCAGTCTTCAAAGATGGGCAGCCGTGTTCGTAACTCCGAGCATAAAGCCACGGATATGGTTTTCTCAACGAAATGCCGCCTTCTCAGCGATACTGACATCTAGACTTTCATGAACGACGATCTCCACCGTATGTTCTGCGGCATGGTGGGAGGAGGGCCGGTGACTTGGGCGTGAATTAGTTTATACTGACGGTTGACTTGTGCAGCATCTACCATGTTCTCTACTCCTTCAGCCACATGGGTCCGGTGACAAGACAGGGTAAATAAGGCCGGAGGTTTGATCTGACACAGTGACTGAGAAAGTTAAACAGGTCTTCTGCGCGTGTCGCACACGCCTGGTCAGCGCACACTAGACCAGGCTTTCGCACAGGGGGGAAGGGGGGCAGTGCAGATCCCAATTGGGCGGGAGTGCCATAGCGGCCAGGCAAAGAGGGTGCCATAGCAACCTGACTGTCCACCATGAGAGGAGCGAGCTAGTCCGTCAGCTGTCAGCCACAAACTTCAACGTACCGTGACAGCTTAAGGGCACATCAGACTATTTATGGAGAAGACCGTGCGCTGAGTCGATGTGAAAGGTGTACACTACTTAAGTAGTCATTTATCAAGAGGCCGAAATGCTCGCAAGGGGTGAAAACCGCGTGAGCCGCGAGCTGCTCGAGTCATGGTTCTCAGGCCCGCAATCCATCAACAAGCACAATGACCTCCCGGTACCCTATAGCGTACTGCGATTTTCCCTGGGCAGGAGAATCAGTCACGTGGGGAGGGCGCGGGCGAGCAATCGTCACGGTGACAGTGAGCCAGTTTGCCGAGCAATCGTCACACCAGCATCCCGCACGGATGACTAAATCGCGGCCATTAACGACTCGGACTCGGACCGACAAGCCACCACCGCATCAATTACGGCCCCAGCGGTGATTACGAGAACTGTAAATTGCAGTGCGCATGCGGTCCCACGGCAGCCACGTGCTATAAATACTGCACTCCTGGTGCCACCTTCACCTCTATCTGCGAATGTCTCTGATGATGGATTCGAGTGAGAATCCGAAACGTCAGGCAAATAAATTTCTTGTTCCGGTGATCGCATCTTCATCTTCTGAACTGCTACCTGGAACTCGCCTGTTCGCTTCTATCGACAAAGTGATCCATCCTAATCGAAAACCCATTTCAGAATCTCGCCTAACATTTCATGGGATCGGCCAATGACCTAACGTCTCATTTTATCGTTGGATGAGGTTCTAACCACCCGCACTAAACCCTCACCTCGTCCACGGCTTGAAGATGTTGGGTCTTGCTTTACTGTTTTATCATTCTCAGAATTTGTCAAAAAAATTGTTTCAGGTGAGGCCTGTTTTTTTTCGAGTTCGATCTTTGGAGATCATATGGTGTATAAGATAAATTCACTGTTTCTTACAAGCCTGTACTTACAACGCACAATTCTGTAGTTAAATACGTTTTTTACGTCAACGGCAAGAAACTTCCTTCCCCAGTAATACAGGTGGTCTTTGCAAAATTCCAAGAAGGGTAAGTAAGTCTGTGTTGTTATTCTAACGCTGTCACCAACCCTAGACTTTAGTGGCCCTACTCCGAACGCCCGTCGCAACTCTGGCCCTCACGCGAGTGTCTGCACCTGCGCACCAGGACCCTCTGGAGTTCGTCCACTCGGTCATCAACTGGCCAATCAGATTCAAGGCCGAGTCAGAAGCACGCACTGGCCTACGACGCTGTGACGCATTCCCTGACTGACACTTGGGACTCCGTTCCCCCGGCGTCAGAGGCACTTTTATCGGGCTCCCAACTCCCTCCCATCTCGCCTGAAGTTGTCCTGTACATAATATAAAATTCTCCAAACTGGTGTACAACTTCTCTTTCTGGACCGGGCCTGTAGGTCGGGATAGTCAGGGTTTCACTCTCGGTTTAGACTTCCGCGATAAGCCCAAACCTTAACCTTAGCCCGAAACCTGATCCTACCTCTGTAAAAATTCCCAACCTTACCTTAACCCTAATCTCCCTGAAAATAAGCTCAGGTCTTCTGGAATAAGGGGTTCCTATTCCTGTGTTTTGCTGTTAATTTAAAAGGGCAGAATGGGAAAGATAAGAAAATAAAAGCAATATTGTGAAAGTTGGCTCGCCGATTGCATTGCACAAGTCGGAATTGAACACTAGTGAATCTTCTGTGTCCCTGGACCCTATATACAATAATGATGGAAGGACTGTGGAGAAGAGGGGGGGAGCGATCTCCGAAATCAGAAGTTTATTCGTCCGGCTTTTCGGACCCTCCTCCTCCTCCTCCTCCTCCTCCTCCTCCTCCCCCTCCTCCTCCTCCTCCTCCTCCTCCTCTTCGTGCCCTTCACCGTCATCGTCATAATCGCCATAATCGTCGTCGTCATCGTCGTAGTCATCAGCACCATCGTCAGAGACCTGGTAGAGTAGCCGAAATGCCTTACGAATTTAGTTCCTGTTCCAGCGATCGAATCCCCACCTTCTACACCGTTCCCTGGAGCTCGCCTTTTCGCTTGTATAGGCAAAGGAACTGCTGAACTTGGTCGAAGATTAAGAAAAAAACACATCTAAGAACTTTTGAAGACTGGTAGAAGGCATCAGTGCATTTATTTTAAAGTCCAAATTTGGAGCGCCATACGAAATGGCGTGTTTTATTGCAAAAAGTAAAAGACCTCGCTTTGTACTTGAACTCCCCGTCCGACAATGTATGTGTTATTCTTGAAAATCAAAATGCTAAAACACACTGTTAAAATACATTGTAACCAATAGAGAGTTCAACGGCGTTCGTCTACCGTTCCCTTCATAAAAAATGCACTGGACTGAACTGAACCGAATAACAAAAGAACTTATTGGTGTCGACATTTTACTGTGCAACTCTGTAACAAATTAATGCTTTGCCCTGTGAGCGCCCGTAAGTTGTTAATGGGTTGCAGCCAAGCCCACACTTTCATTTTAAGAAGATGCATAACTAGAAGATAAAAAGAAGCCCCACATGCGATAAAAAAGCACCGCCAGTATCAAGGAGCTCCGATTTTTGGGCTGTGCTGAGAACAGCGTGCCAGCAACTGTTTAGACGTCGACGTTTTCTAAGTCGTCATTAGTATTCTTTATCCCTAACCGACATTTGCTATGGAGTCGGTACCCAGATAGTGAACTTTATTTGATCTCTGGCTCTAAGCTAGGAAGTTTCCATAATAGGTCGCTATCACGTACTCTTTTGTCACCTAGTACTAGGTAAACTGCCATGAGGATGAGTCATTACTCACGTTTCGAACTTGTTCTGTTTGAAGTCGAATAGCAGTGACACTTACTGATTTATTTTCGAGAACGCAAGCACTTTGATGACCTAGAAGACCCATTGTGACGGTGAAATAGGGCATTTGTGGGTGCAAATGAGAAAAACAATGTTTTCATGTAGAAGCTGACTCTTTATGGTGAAAAAATTGCAAATATCTGCCGACTTGGAAAGATATCTGCCTCTCAGAGGAGAACTTATAGAGTCTGTTCCAGGAGGAATTTCGAACTTTCAGAAGGAAGCAAGAAACGCCGGCTGGATTCTGAATTCTTTCATCTCCCTTCATAACTGCGCTGATAACACAGTTTCCCAAATGGATCTTGCTGTCTATTTGCAGAGAGAAGGGCTTTTTTGATTAGCATTTTGACGCATACATTCTTGGCGGCAGACAATCCTAAGGCCGTCTTGAGGCCAACTGAAAGATCCACAAGTTATGCCTGTCACGTTGCCCAGGCTCGTCAGTAATCTCACCAATTCTAGTCGGAAAAATTACATTTTTTTCACTTTTACGTGTTTGACGAGTGTCAGAAAATCGGCCAAGAACTTTCTCTTGCCGTTTGGCAGTGGTTAAAAAACCCGTTCACCTCCATGAAATACGAAAGAAGGCAGTCCAACCGGTTACGTATTTGGCCGGTTCTCTATGACATTTATTGTCGAAATCGCCGGACGACTTGCGTTCTTGGATTTCGGTTAATAGGTCCTAGTCCAAAAAATTATCCAGAATGTGGTTCGGTGAGATGTGGTTATGTAGCCCAAACTTATGGAAACAATACTGTTGGTGTTGGGGTTAGGGGTGTTGGTTAGAAGTTAGGGGTTACAGTTAGGGTTTATGGCAACAATTTCTCAACCACTCAAAGTACAACCGTGCATTCCCAATAGCTTTTCTTTTGCCTACAATTGCTTGACCTCGTCGCCCGTGCGTGCCCCGGCCCTACGTGTAAAAACCCCTATTACCAGCGGCACCGTATTACAGGTGGCTGGGGTTTGTCTACTTCAAATGGGACTACATAACCACATCCGAATTGCGGCTACTCCATTGATTATATGTAGGTCCTGCATGTGTTTTGAGTGGTACCAAAATGCCCCCTTTCCCCGAACCTGTCAATTGACCAACTCGGACTGTGGCTGGGGCCTGAGAATGGGAAGAGAGAGTGAGGTCGACGACTCAGCGCATTTTCCTCACCATAGACAATTTGACACGCTTGAAACTATCACGGTGCGCTAAAAGCCGAGGCTTGGAAGGTTGCCAACTGAGGCAATAACTTGGACCTCGCAGTCAACCCCGTGTGTGTTTGTGTGGAGCGGCCGACTGGTGGTCTAAGAGTCAGGCTGCAATGACTCCTCCCTTATGTTATCTTTATGGCACTCCCACTCCGTGGGATCCGGGGATAATGTGGGGGCACGCCAAGGCGCGGCTCCGACCACGCCAGTCCCTTTGGTTTTTAGTTAAAATCCTGGTTATTTGTCGTGTGAACCAGGGGGTGTGGAGTGAAGCGCCAAGGTGCGGGCTCCACCGTGCCATCCGCCTGTGCCCTCGCCCGCCTCCGGCCTTCTTGACTTTGTCTTTACGCCGGGCCCAGGTGGGGGGAAGGAGGAGGATGGAGTGCGGTAGATGCTGTCCAAGTGCATATTCACTGTGACCTAATTCGCTCAAAAGTCACCGTGCCTGCTTTCGCCTCCGCGTGGGGCACACAGTGGACATCGTCGGTCACGAGGGTCGAACTGTCTGACCACAACGCCTCTCGCCACAAATTCAGGCAGTGCCCTGAAGCAGCTGCTATGGCGCTGCCAACTGGTCGTATCTGCCACTGCAGTGCTAAACCTCGCTTTGTCAAACGCTAAGACCAGGGGCTCGACAAATTTTCCACGCCGGGTGGGCCAAAGGAGACAAGCGGTGCGAGGGACACCCAACGTGCCGACTCAGTGGCTTTGTCCCGTGCAAGTCACGCTGCAGCCGCGGGTTCACGCGCTCAACTTTAGGGCCGTTGCATAGGCTTGGAAGCATGCAGTGCACTTTAGTCCACACTGACAACAGTGCGTCTAATTTTGGCAACCGGCTGGTCTGGATAGACATGCGAACAAGGGCGAAAACAAACCACGCGACCCCATATTCGTCCGCCCGATGCGCAGCCTAAACGAGCACTGACAGGTAGCAGGAACTGCCGCCGTGATACGCCACACGACAGCTCGACTGCCGCTACCGCAGATGTCTGCCGTGCGCTCCGCAACAGGGCGAGAGCAGGAACGGGGGCTTGTGCGTGAATTATATTATCATGGTAGTGAACTTGTACAGAATCTACCGGACTCTCTCCTCCCCCCACCTGGGCCCGGCGTCATGAGAGAGTGGAGAAGACCGGAGGCGGTTGAGGGCGCAGGTGGATGGCACGGCCGGACCCGCAACTAGGCGCACCACTGCACACCCCTTGGACCACAACAACACTTGACCCGGATTTTGACCACCACGACCACGACAACAACGACCACCACCACCACCACCACCACCACCACCACCACCACCACCACCACCACCACCACCACCACCACCACCACCTAGGCAAACGAGGTTGTCCATGGTTTGGGGTTGGTTGCCGCGGAAACTGATTCGAGGAGGAGTACTGTGTTGTGTGTTTGGTGACGATTGGTTTGGGACTACCGTCTTGTCCGTGCTGATAGCCAGGCCGAAGTTGGCACACCCGACGGCGAGGAGGCCCATGTTCCTCTGCATGTTTCCTACGGTCGTGGTGTTAAGGGCGCTGTCGTCGGTTATTGACGGTAGTCCTAGATTGTCGCGTTTGGGCCTGCACGTGTCTGCTGTTGAGAATATGCTCATCATTTCCGTAGGCTGATATGCAAGCGCTTCGGGGAGCTCTTTTAAGTGACTTTATAGCGTCTTTTTTGGCCTCCATGCCGGCGGGCACCCGTAACGAGTCGTTTGGGTAATTGGGCATCATCCATCCTCACCAGGTGGTCGCTCAGTCGCAGATGCAGTTGCCTCAACATGCGTGGATGTTTTAGTTTGGTGTTCAGTTAAACGCCACGGCGATTCCACACGGAAGCTTGCAGCCGACTGAAACCTTGACTGGCTGACAAGAAGAAGAAACGATCGCTGGAACAAGGTCTTTATTGGCCTGACGTTTCGGATTCTCACTTGAACCCATCATCAGAGACAGTGGCAGAAACGGGTGACTCGTGCACAGGAAGTGGCAGTATTTATAGGATGCAGTCGCTATGCTACCGCATACCTATAGTAATTGACCGCGGTCCACTTCATCAAGGATTTTTGCCCGCTGGTGCGCTAATTGCTTGATGGCCGGCATGCAAGTTGTTAATTGCTGACATCTCATCACCTCTGTTGAATGCTGGCGTGATGATTGCTCGGCCATCTGGCTCACCGGCTTGCGCGCCTCCCGAGTGGTCAATTACCTTGGCCAGCTTATGCCTCAGCACGGAATATGAAGTGGGGATTTCGTTGCACTTGTTGATAGACTGAGGTCCCGTAAGCCATGACTCAAACAACTCGCGGCTCACGCGTTTATCCCCTCTCGCGAGAATTTCAGCCTCATCGAACTTGAATGTGTGGCCGGGTCTCGTCGAATGGGCCGCGACCTAAGAGTTGGCATCATTTCTCCGTACCGCTGCCGCGTGTTCGGCTATTCGCCCTCGAAGCAGCATTCCAGTTTCGCCGACGTAGTTGCTTTGTCCGCACCTGCACCAGATCCGGAGTCGTTTACCGGATCTCTTCGGTCGCTTTGTTGGACCCGCAGGTGCTGGCGAAGAGCATGACGTGGACTTTGGTCGTAGATAGCCGCGTTGGGGACAGCACGCGACTGCCACTAATAAGAGGTCCGTATGTTCTGTAGGCGATGCGTATCCCAGGAGGCTCATCACTGTAGGCCTCCATCAGCATAGAGGTGGAAATGAGGCTGAGGAGGGTGGGGCGAGTACGCACCTCTGCTTCACTCCATTGATCACCGCGAATGTCTCGGAGATTACGCCATTGTCCGTGACGCGCGCCATCATCCCTTTGTGGTGCTAACGAAGTATGTGCGTGAATCGTTCAGGACAGCGAATTTCTTCATGATTTTCTGTAGGCCCGTGCGATTCACCGTATTGGAGGCTACTTTCAAGTCCACTAAGGTAGTGTAGAGGTGGGTTCTCATCTCCTGGCACTTCTCCTCTGGCTGGAGAGCGGTTGACACTATGTAGGTTGTGCCCCGTAGTCTTCGGGAGCCACATTGGTTTTCCGGCAGAAGTCCTTGCTCTAGGTGTCCGTTAAGACGAATGAAGATGCGTCGAGCGAAGACTTTCATAGTGATGTTGAGTGGCGACATGTCTCTGTGATTGTCACAGAGCTGCTGCTCCCTTTGCGCTTGTGGAGGCGAACGATGGCTGGGTCCTTGGAGTCCTGAGGAATCTGTCTGCACGCCTCGAGGATAAGTGCGCCACAATCGTCAACACCTATGTTTCCCCTCCACAAATGACAAGCCCTGATGACTTGAAGAGCAAGTTTTATGCAGATCCGCACGTCATCCTAGCGATCGTGCCGAAGACCAAAAAAGTGGCTGCCCTTGGTGACTTCAAGTTCCGCTTATGCACAGATCACGCAACCTGAAAAGAAATGATAAGTTCTACCAGAATTAGCAGTTGCAACGACGGTAGGTTTGCTGTGTTACAGTCATATACGAAATGCAATCTTTTAATTATCGGGGCCTTCTTCCGCACTCCAATCTGGAGAAAATCAACGTGGATGCACTGGTGACTGCGGAAGACGCGACCAACGTGGTGTGTTAATCACGAAGGCGGCGTTCGAGGTGGGATGTTAGACAGATTACCTCACATAGTAACCAACTTAAATAAAATTCGTCTTCAATCTTACATTCGACCATATTACCACCAATCAATCGATTGTGATTTGACAAGTATACTTCGGCCTGGCCTGGCAGTCGAAGCAAAACCATTTTTATTTTAATTCAGGCCTTAGAAAGAGTATTTTCGAGCTGCGCGTCAGCTGCGTCCCCTTCTTATTCTAAGTATGAAGAGGACTCCTGACGCACTAGGTTCCTGGTCAAATATCCAGCAGAACAGAGAGGTCTTACTATCGTGAGAAGTGTGTTCATCGATCATATTAGGGGACATACTCGTTCTGTCGCGTTTTGAAGGTGAATCTAGCACCCTATCAATGAAAGAGGGTTGGACATAAACGCGCTCATGGATCAAATAGTCCATTTTAGAGTTTTGGAATATCCAGGTGTGGGGTCGAGTATGACTGGGTGACGACACTTAATTAGTTAGAGATAGCCACCCCCAGTCTTCCTTGTTTTTGTCGGCGTTTCCATCTGTATGAGGCAGGTTTTATCGGAATGCTTCCCCGAGAGCTATTTTCTTCTGCAAATAGGAAGAATTTGCTTAGAAATTTTGTGTTTCCCCGAAAAGAGAGTGATTGGTCCTCGGGTGGGCTCCAGAATTAAACGTAATTTTTCCTCATATCATTGCTGGGTTTAGATTGTATGCTGTGACGAGACCACTCTCGCCTTCCTATCTTTTTTTAAATCCAGCACTCACTCACAAGGCGCATAACCACATAACACTGGTTTGTGGTACATGTGTAACTCGCTGGAAAGGGTTGACCTATTTAAAGCACGCTGACAATACAAGGACTTCACTTTCGTACGATACACCTGCGGAATTCCAGTGAAAGTCGTGTCGCTCGAGTTTTTTTATCACTAGGTCATTCAAGAAACTGCATAATTTGCAGGCCGTCGGAAGGCTAATTTCACATTTCGAACCTTGAACTATAAATATGGATTTACAATGACTGCAGCACGACGTTTTAGGTGGAGCTGTGAATCATCCTGATGGAATTGTTTTCAACTTATAACTGGGCATGCCATTAATAGGTTTCCAGTAAACCCACAAGCTCATTAAATCACAGTCTTTGCTTTAAACGTCAGACAGGGCTGCCAACAAGTGATGACTTGTCTCGGCGGGGACAAACGGGCTGTCCACAGCTGCACACATTATACGCAGATTAAATCTTTGAAACAGGAGACTTCTCTAGCTGTTTGCGAGGTGCCGCTTACTTACTCATTGCAGAAAATGAAGAAGATTCTCAGGCAGATAATGGTACTGGGAATACATCGGTTTGAGCAAACTGTGTGATTGGAATGTCATCACTTCATGAGCCAAACTACGCCTGAACAACTCCACGCCTTCCTCCTTGAAAATCATAATGGCTCAAAGGGCTAGTTCAGTCTGCCCTTTTACTTGGTGGTCTAACAGTATTACGTGCAGGCTCAGATAGCAGGGGCGGGCGGGGGTTCTTATACCAGTATGTTATTACCGACAAAGACAAGGGAGACTGAAATGGCCATTTCTGGCTTATTAGCCGTCGTCAGCCAGTCATACCCAACGCCGAAATGTGGAACACCCGAGGCTCGAACTCGCGACCTGTTAGTTAGAAGTCCGCGCCTCCAACCTCGGGTGTTCCACACTTCGGGGTTGGGCATGACTGACTGACGACGGCTAATAAGCCAGAAATGGCCATTCCAGTCTCCCTTGCCTTTGTCGCTAATAAAATACTGCCTATATCATGCGTCGCTGTGCGGCTTCTGGTTGGGCTCGAGAGAGAGCCCGTAAGGCACGACGGAACGAGTGAGTTCCGTAAGAGCTATCGATGAGCGCCTCCCTACCCTTCTTATACCATCTGATTTACCTCCTGTCAACGTACGAGGAACACTGGGTGGATACTCACGGAGAGCCAGTATCGAGTGGACAGCCTATCTTTGCACACCGCGTCGCTGTGGCAGAGGTCGTCGCCTGCGCACATGCGGTTGCGATGGGCTGCGCAGCACGTCCGAACAAATTTTGACCAGTAGGAGGCGCGTTACAGCCCGAACGGTGTACGATGATGTTTACGCTATGCATGGAAAAAATCAAACGCAGCCCATACGAACTGCAAGAATAGCAAGTGCCTCGATAGGGTGGCAAATAGGCATCGCATATCCACAATAAACAACAAAACTAAAGGCCATAATCAATCGCTTGTGTTACTGAGGCACTTGTGTGATCATTATCAAATAGTTTAGATTAGTCAAAGAGCCCTCAGCTGCATAATATGGAATGCATTGCACAGCGTTCTGACGAGATTCACCATAGCTCTTTCAAGCCTATTTTTTATATTATAACTCGATTTGGCCTTCGGAACCATACTATTGATGAATTTAAAGAGGAATCCTCAGTTTACATTATTGTTGGTTCGAAAGACAGGATTGGTCCTAGGAAGCAGATGAGATAAAGAAGACGATTCAAATACGGGACAAGAATTCTGTCATCCAGGCCTTTCGGAATCACCAGAGAGAGCGAGAGAGAGTAAAAGGTAAGGGTCGCAAGCCCACAATTGGATAGCAGATGTGCTGTTTTCTTGCACTTCCACAAGGCGACATCTGCCGACTTCGTTTGCACATCGTCCCCTTTCGTGGACGCCTCCGCACTCGGCAGAAAACAACCACCGGCGGTGCAAGCACACGTTCACCCTGTCCCCTCTGCCAGCACACACCCCAACTGTCACGCGATCGGCCCCCAACCTGCTCCTCTCCCGCACTAGCCTACTTGGTCGATTGCGCGTACATGCCAAGGTGAATTAAGGCACTGCCCACCAATCACACGCGATTGGCCATCGATTGCTAATCCGACAGCCGAGGTCTTTGTAAAGGCAAAGGAGTAAGGCGTGATAGGTGTTGATCGCGACTGAGAGGTCACTGCCGGCGCCTGTTCTTTCGATTTGCTCACTTCTGTGAGGATGAAAGGGTGGTGAGGGAGGGAAAGCACCGTAATCACCCGTTCAGCTGCTATGGAGAAGCCCCATTCGCAACTTCGTCTGGAGCTCCGCGTTGGGAAAAAACGTCTTTGCACTTTCTGTGGTGTGATTCTTCCACCCATAAGATGTTTAAAGGGGGAACCCACGTCAAATGAGCTTACATGGCTGACTCACTCCCTCAATTTTATATTCCCTGCCTTCTTCAATAGCCCTCCGGAAAACCTATAATGCGATTAGTTCTGGGCCGGTCCACTTGAACTTCTCACACGATCTTATTTCGGTGGTTAGATGGCACCTACCGTCCAATCTTTCCCGGTCTCTCTGCACAACAAGTAGAAGAGTGACTCAAGAAATCAGACGTCCAATTTCGACTTCAGTTACGCCACCGGCGTTTTGTCAGTGCACGCGTCCTTTTCTGAAATCTCCTGACTTGTTAAAAAGGGGAGTAATATCTGTGGGCCTCCCTCCCACCCATTACAATAGATTCTCGGACTGGGCACAATGCCTGGCATGCGTTTCGCACGCACCCGGCAATAGTTATGGACTCGTGTCCCCATCACAATCCAACCAACGCATGCCATGAGCCAATGTTTGTCCCCCCCCCTTCCCACTTTTAGCTCAGAGTAACAACCACCATTCCTAGGGGGGGGGGGGGGGCAGCTATAAGCCAGTCTAAGTCTTTTTTCAGGGTGGCGACTTTGGCTTTGGTGCCAAGACTACTGACGTCGCGGCTTGGCAAGCAATTGCTTTGCCCGCCGACTCTCTTACCTGCCATGAAGGGGCAATTTAAACGAGGACCCGAATTTTCTAATTAGCATCTTCTGTTTTGTACTTGATTATCTGAAAGGTGACTGACTGTCATGCAAGTGGAATGCCAATGGCAGTCCGTCCTTCCTGCACAATGAAGACCACTACTGCTTCAAAAGACCCTGCACAGGTGGCTTGAGTTACGAGGGGGAGGGGGGAGGAGGAGGCCTTGTGGAGCATAGACACCGCCCTATTTCGTCCTGTCCACATACCCCGCAGACGGAGTTGCGCACATCGTCCGACCAGGCAATTTGATCCAAACCGCTAACAAGCCAACGATCCACCTGATGCTGTTCTTCATATAATACGATATGACCGCTCGGTGGGTGGATAAAACGCACCGCGAACACAGAGGCCACAAATGCAAAGGGACAAATTATTCGATCAAGCACTGTACGGTACAAAATTGTAAGCGTGGGAAAGTTGGGTGGAGCTAGAGACAGACGGGAGGGGGGGAAGACGGGCGAGGATATGGTCTCCTTGATGCAGCGAAACAAATGATGTGAGAAGGGTTGTGATCGAGGTCACGGAATTGGAAATGTTAAAAGGTTTAAAGGCAACATTTCAGGGGGCAGGAGGAAAGGAGGTAGTAAAATACTGGGGCGAATGAACGGAGGGAATTTGGCGAGTACATAAATTTGTGTATGAAACGCTTCGAAGCATGAGAAGGGGGTATTCGCGGGGGGAGGAGGGGTAGGCCAGCTTCTAGATGTTCTGGTAGCCATGGGCCCGACGCCTGTTGCCGATCAAAAACACCACAATCGCAAGGACAATCAGAACAGCGAAGCAGACACCGACGGCAATGGCAATAGTGTTGTCCTTGGGAACCGCTGGGACGCAGTCAAAGGCTGAAAAACAAGGAAAGTACGCACATGAGAAACCATCGATTCGACCGCCGAAAGTGATACCTTCCACCGCGTGCCCCACCAAGTGGGTTCAGCACCTGTAACGTGCACGCGAATTAGTTTATGGTAGGGTAGAGTTGTGCTGAATCTATCGCAACCACTCTTCCCTCATTCACCAGGCTCCGATGACAGGACAACTTCAGGTAAAGATTACTCATATGACCCCCTAGGCAGAACATGAGAACACGAACCACCAGCAATACAGGTGGCTTTGCGCCAAATTCCAGGGAAATCAGGGTAAGGTTTAGGAGTAGGTCGAGAATAAGGTTTAAAGTTAGGGCTAAGGTTAACGTCAGGGAAGTTGGGAGCAACTTTGGGGTTAAAGTTGTGGATTAGTGTTAACCACCAGAATGGGGTCCAGGGTGGGGTTAAGGTTAAGACTAGGAACACAGTTTAGGCTTATGTTAGGGCCAGGGTGGGGCACAAACGGGCCACGTGGTAGATGCGCTGAACCAACACGGGGGCCATATCGGATTCTGGCAGGCGCTGTCGGATTCGCGCACCATAACAAATGCCAACACATTTCGGGATGCGGTGGCAGACCCGGTTGCCGGCAGACGTCGCGCACACTGGGACGCTCGCCGTCCCCCATTGTTATTGTTGGTCAAATCCTGGTCATTTGCTGTGTGGACCAGGGGGTGTGGAGCGGAGCGCCAAGGTGCAGGCTCCACCGTGCCACCCACCTACGCCCTCCCCGCCTCTGGTCTTCTTGACTCTGTTTTGACATCGGTCCCAGGTGGGGAGGAGGAGATAGTGTGGTAGATGCTGTGCAAGTCTATATTCACTATAAACTAATTCACACGCAAATCACCGTCCCTGCTCTCACCTTGATGTGGAGCACAGGGTGGACATCGTCGGCAAGTCTATATTCACTATAAACTAATTCACACGCAAATCACCGTCCCTGTTCTCACCTTGATGTGGAGCACAGGGTGGACATCGTCGGCAACGACGTTCGAACTGTCGCAAGGGTGAAGACAAGGCGATATTTGCTTTTCCTGGAATTATGCACAGGGCAAGCTTTATTACTTAAAGTAGAGCATCCCAATTCGCATGTCCTGTTTAGGGAGCCATATAAGTAAGCTTTACTCAGTGTTAAGACGATCGGAGGTGGGCGTAGGCGTAGTGGCTAGCCAAGATAAACAGCCGCCTGCGTGTGACACGCACGACCTGGGCCCCATAGCGTAGACCAGACTTTCACGAGGACGGCTCGGAGTCACATCAGTTGGAGTGCCATAAAGGCCACGTGGCGAAGGAATTATTACAGCCTGCCTTTCAGTCCTGAGAAAGACCTATTTATATGGTTAGTTTTGCTTACCAACTCGCTGGGGAGTGGCTAGAAAAGGTGTCCTAAAAAGTGCTGGAGAGCCACACCACCTGCTAGTATGAGTGACTCGTGGATGCAAAACTCGCGGTCAAAGCAATCAAAAAAACAACAACTCACGTCCCCATTCCCTCGCCCCGCCCCGGAGGCTGTTAGAGTGAGTCCCTTTTCGTGGGACCCGAGCTGGTATGGTGGTGTGCCTAGGTGCGGGTTTTTGTCGCAACGACCACTTTCGTCCTCTCTGGACTCCGGTCTTCTTGGCTCTATCATGACACCGGGTCCAGGTGAAGGAGTGATTGCGGCAGACGCGGCACAAGTTCACTATTACTTTAAACTAACTCACACGCAATTCACTGTCTCTGCTCTCACCCTGCTGTGTAGCACACGGTGGACATTGTCGGTAGCAACAGTTCCACAATTCGCCTAATCCCCCTTGTGTGGCCCCATGTATGTTGTCCCTTTTTGACACCTTTTAGCGTACACTTTTTTGCCTCGGAAAATTACGTCGTTCTGTTTTTCTCCAACCCTCGTACTATTTGTTTGAATCTCTCGTCTTCTTCCCGCGTAACTTGACACTAACCTTCGGACTATACGCCACATCTTTCTGACTGTACGCCTGGAGACATCTGGTTGTAAGTGTAGCATTTAGAGTTTCCTAATCATGCCAATTATAGAACCGTGTTTCCGTACAATTCTGCTCTCATTTACACCGTTTCCACGTACGGGCGGCACGAAGTAAGCCAACTCAGGCGACTGAATCTAGACGGGCTATAAAGCGGCTAGGTTCAACAGACTCTGTGTGAGTTACGCGAACATGCCAACAGGTGGCGGTCAAATGTACTCCGCAAAGTTAACCAAATTCAGAAACGGGAGTCGCAGAAATCTCTGTCAGCTTCTGATTTGGACAGATATTCTACCCCTGTTGGAGACAATGAAACAATCCTCGAATCATATACGGAAAAGATAGCGATTTTGGAGGAGCAGTTGAAGAAGAAAATTAAATTGGTCAGTCCAAGTGCAGCATTGGATACAGCCCCACCGGAATCAAAGCCCGCTGTTGCCGGCGAGTCCTCAGTGCTTGGATTTTCGCGGGTTCAGATGAAGGAGAGATTGTGGCAGATGATGCACGAGTCCACTATTAATTTAAACTAACTCACACGCAAATCACTTTCTCTGCTCTCACCCTGCTGTGGAGCATACGGTGGGCATTGTCGGTCACTAAGGTCGAACTGTCATGTCGCGACAGTCGCACAATTCGCCTAATCCCCCTTCTAGAAGACAGCGGTTTGGGAAAAAATGGGTCTGGCTAGAGATTCCAGGCATATTTATTGTTTCAATCGGCAATGATGTGATTGAACTTCACAGGCAGAGATTACAACGCAAACTTCTAGTAGAATGCATCCAAGATTATCGATAATGTCTTGAGATAACTGTTTCAAGGATATCAAGATTCGTGAATCACCAATCTCGGAGGGCGTCTGCTTCGAAAAATGGATCATGTTTGGCTAGTCCGTTCTGGTAGTAAGCTGTAGGGTAGAGGAGGAAGACCTAGTACGATATTTCGTCAACTCTTGAAGGCAGGTGATTTCTCACCGTACGGCAATACTTGAATGCTTGCTATCAGCGACGCCTTCATAATCCCTCACATTTCTGACCAAAAAAGCGATTTCCTCACCGACATAATTAGGACCTGACTGCCCTCCAGACTCTAACACCCTACCAAATCATACAAGCCTTTACCAGGAGTTTGTATGAAACACATTTTGGCAAAAGGTTGCTCTTGAGACACCTGAGCAGAAACTGAAGCCGTGCATAGAGGCCTTTCGACAGACAGAGGTTACCTGTCACCATCTGACCCCTGATGACTGACTGTAGTTCACGCAAGCTTACCCGCCTGCATGGTTTACTCATGCTATTTCTGGGATAGAGGATGAAACGATGTTTAACACTAGCTCTGGGAACATCGGTGTATGACAGTATCACCTAACTGAGTGGACTATAAGTGATAATTACGTAGACGAAAACCCACTTATTTCGGCAAACAGTGCACATCACTGGCCCTCGTTAAACAGTGCTATCCGCGACCGTGACTAAAGTTTGGCTGTTCTGGTAAGCAATGCAGCCGACTTTACCTATATGGAGTTCGTGGACCATCCTAACATCTAAGACAGCTCAAATACCAGTGGCGCAATTTCACGCACTGAAATGTGGAGACGTACTTGGCCTATTTTCTGGAATGCAGTCGCACCTATTGTGTAGCCATTAAACAACGGATTTAAAAACGGGGCTAGACGAAATCAGACGCTGGTAGTTCTGGAATTATGGCTCGCATGCAGGAACAAACCGGAACACATGGTGAAGATTCTACAATCGTACTACCGAATAACGGATTTCAATAACAGAAAACCTGCTCCTACACAATATGAAAAACCGTCGCAAAAATAATTCTCGATCCAAGTCCCGTCCTTTGTTACTTCTTTTGTCGTATCTTAAGCTCTACCGGCAGTTGATCTTCCATCACTTCCACAAGACGGAAGTGTCTGCGACAAGCTCGCGGGAACGGCCTGAGGAAGACAATAGCTAACTGATCCTCACATACACTTCCGAACAAGCGTCTATGGAGTCGATAACGCGTACCACCTTCCTGGGAGTGAAGCGTTTCACGTGCTTGAGGGTTTCTTATAAAGCAAAAAGTCTTTCGCGGATAGACCATATGACGTTACACCACCAGGAACATATTGCGACCCGAAAGACAAAATCGCTATCAACGTAGTTTATTGTCCGCTTTCCCCGACACATGCAGCATGCGCGAGGGGAGTACTGGATAATGCACAAGTGAGAATTCTAAATATCACATCTTTAGGTTGTCAAGACAGTCCTACTCTCCAAAGAAATGAGCTATCCCAACAGTTGGCAATCTCCTGACGCACAACTTTTAGCATGCCGTGGCAAGGCCACTTCCGCATCAGCCCCACTCACCCCCGCCAGTGACCTGTCCGAGCCTGTCGGTCGACTCTGATAAAACCGAGCACAGCGGTTGATGTGACGTGGAAACCTTCGCCCAACGTTTGCAGCACGATAGTTCGGCCGCTGTCTCCGACGACATCCACCATGTGCTCCACAGCACCGAGCACGGACGGCGACATGGCCGCGAATTAGTTAATAGCGACAGCAGACTTGCGCAGCATCTACCGCACTCCCTCCTCCTCATCCGCCCGGATCCGGTGTCATGGCAGAGTCAAGAATACCGGAGGCGGGAGAGGGCGCAGGTGAATGGTACAGCGGAAACCCGCAACTAGGCGTACCACCACACTGTCTGGCTCAAAACGTACACTGACTAGGATCTTACCCAACCAAAGAAAAGGGGGTGACAAGAATCCTAATTGGCACAGCGTGGGCCTGCACGACTCCCTCACTGTTGGCATTTGCTATGGGTGCGCATTCCATGTAACACCCACCTGACTGCAATCTAGCTCCTGTGTTGGCCTAGCGCATCTACTACGTGGCGGAGCGCAAACAGTAATTTGGTCATCGTCTCTGATGCTAGCAAAGTCAGAAGACGCCTGAGCAGCGAACGTGTGTGCATCTAACCAGATGGGGCGTTAGTCAGTTGTGTTGCGATGGTTTAACAGCTGCTTGGACAGGCCGACATGTGGTTGCGATATGTGCTCACAACGGAAACATTTGGCACGGTGTTGGCGGCGTCCTGACTATGGAGGAGGGGGGGGGGGGGGGGTGTGCGTGAAGGTGTCCAGCCAGTACGAGCCGACATGCGAACACGACGTTACAGTGAAGGCAGATGGTAGTTTTTTCATTGGTGGTGACGTTCTATAGTGCAAAGGCTTGATTGGGCGTGGTGGATCCGAAAGTGTTTGATTAAGTCGATCCGAATCCTGAACGTCAGCTGGCAGCGCAGAAGGATGAAAGGGAAGGCATAATCGTTGGCAGAACTGGTTTGCATCACTCCTGTCTTACGTGCTGTTCCCTTCTCCATTATTTGGTTCGTGGTAAAGATGGCCGTTCCCAGTTTTCATGGCTATTCGTCATGTGCGCGGGTCCTCTGCAAGTGTTTTCCAGGTCTCGGCTAATTTAGAAGTACTTTGGGAACGTCCTCAACGTGTCCTCATAGAGTCTTTTCTGTCCACTGCATTAGAACACCGGTGACAACGTCATCGGACCCTCGGTATTTTGCCTCCGTCGCTGGCGAAGAAAATGGGTTGAGTTATCCAGATCTGCTGCCGCGGACTGTCACGCTTGAAGAAGTACACAGTCCGTGACATCAACACGGCCGACTAGATCAGACATGATAGCAGCCGTACCAAGCGCAAGTAAGTACAAAGGGCACAATGAAATCTTATGAGGTTACCTACACAATTCGTTAAGATCTCCGATCCATATCTGAGTACCAATCGAAGCCGAAACACGCAAAAATCTACTATAAGCCGCCAGTAGACCCCGTACCGATGTCAACGACTAACGTAGGCCAGGCGGGCACTTTTGTCCCACGAGTCAAATTATCATTCAGGGCGTGAAGAAAGAAACCCTCCCGTTCGCCACCAAGCAGCGATGCTCACTTCCACTTATGGTAGGTCTGTCTTTTTGTCGTCAAACTGTCAGACAGCATTTCTTGGGTTTTCACAGCACAGAGCCCTGACCGAAAAGACAGCGCGGTCATGCAGTGCCGCATGGGGTGGCAGCATGTTAGAGCTGGGGTCAGAAGAGAAGGTTACGGACGAGTGAGCGGTAGAGCGCAGTTTCAAAGTCAGAAAAAAGACTTACATTGACCGGAGAAGTCGGTGCTCGTGGAGTTTCGGAAGGCCTCCATTTGCAGAGCCGCCAGGCCAAACAAAACGTTCGGACTAGGATCGCCCGCTAGAGTGATGTTCTGCTGGGGCGCGCAGGTGAAGAAGGCCGTGGAAGGCGTGTTGAAATAGGGACCCGTACCGGCCGCCCGCCTGATGCCTGAATCAAGAAAAGAGGACAGAGGTTGATTAGGAGTAACATGCTGTAATACTGTCAAATGCCTGAGACTAGTCAAAAGGCACAAGTTGCTGGCTGGCTGACTGATCGGCCAAATTAAACTTTCAGACAGCGGCTTCGGAGTTCACGCTTGAAGCACTATCTTTCATGATACGGACTTCTCATTATCTGAAGCGTATGATGCACACGTCCGAGGAAACTCTGCTGGCCATAAACAGGATCGATATGGTCGGCGCGCACGAGACAGTTTATTCGGTGATCTAGGATGGGAAGCCCGTTCATGTTAGGTCAAGCAGCTACAGAATCCTTCGACGATTACCAACTCTCCCAAGGAGTTCGCAAATGAAGTCGGCAGAACCATAATGTACTATACTTGCGCGCCTGTCCCGGTTGAAAATTGCGGCGGGATTTCATCTCCTTCGTCAATCGAGACAGTCAATCGTTCGGCTACGAATATGACTAAGCCAGGTCACCATGTGACAAGCGTAACAAGCACAAGATGCGCAAACTTTTTCGGGCGAGAGGATAAGGCAAGACTTCTGTATATGCTACTTATTATTTTTAACTACTTAAAAGAGCATTTTTACTAGGACAAACCTTGAAGCATAAACCATAGTGACGTAATCTGCCATACATGACGCATCGCCTACCTGAGATGTAACAACTATAAAAGTGGGTCATGGTTGCCGTCGGTGTCGAGATGCATCAATAGATCCCAATCCACAATTGGAAATGCGCATTTTTAAAAATTTTTAACTGCCTAATCCAATACTACAACAATAAAAGGCTGTAAGGTGAGTAAACTTGTCGCCCGATCCTGGTTAACTACTGGACTCTTCGATCGCACTCGCCCTCGAGTGAACCGGGATTGACATAACGTATTCTTTTCGACTAAAGACTGACCAGCAGAGCATATGAATGACCACAGACCGAACAGGTACGGCGAATAAATCTCCAAAATCGTCTGTACCGCGACGCCTATTGAATACGGGCCCCCTAAAGGGTGTTAAATGACAATGACTAAAGGCAAACGCAACAGAATGCCCAGATAATGGAACACCGACAATAGATGGTCTTACAGACAAATAGACGGCACATCGACGCTCAAAACAAGGATGATTAGCACAAACTAGAACCCATTCCGGTGTTCATGTTGTTGGAATGTTGGTACTTCCTATGCGGCAAAACTTTCCGGACCCACCAAAAGGGTCTTAGATTATTGTGAGGCTTGATATCAGTCTAATTCAGCAAAGATTGATCTTGGTCCACAACGAGCTTCCAGGTTAGCATACAACAAACTGTACAAAAGCAAAAGCTGGTCCCGGCCCCCAGCTAACCTTCCCTTTTATCTAAAAATACCCGGACTTGAGTATCCAGCTCCGTTTATCAGACTGAAACGAGTTAGTTATGTAGGCGAGCTTCAGTAAGGAGTTTTGGGGACATGACTGGCTGACTCTTCGTCTCTCCTGTACCATCGACAGTATATAGACTCAGCAGCGGTACGAGGCGTTTTGATCGATTAGTCGGCGTACACTGAGCCAAACGACTTGCCCTCAGCATAGGGGTCAGGCGACAGGTGCCGATGGACGCCGCCCGGGGGGAGGGAGGGGGAGAGGGGGGATGGCCTAATTTCCACTGAATCAGACTGTGATTGGGAAAATGTGAGGAGCAGATGAAGGGACGTACCAGTTTCCTTATTGTCAGGGAAGAGAGGGTCGCTGACATTGTAGATGAATAAGACTGAGCTCACAACAGTCTCCTCCGTGCCCGAGGCTGACATGGGCAACTTGGAGAAGGTCAGAGAAAGATTGAACGATGGCTGGCCGAGCGAACCCCATGTGAGGTTGAGGGTCTGAGTTGTCGCGTCACAGGAGCCAAATACGGCTGCATATTTGTCCACCGATATGGTCGCAGTAACATTCTCACTCTTGGACTAAAGTAAATTAAGGCTGGATGACGTGTGAACTCTTCGAACAAATGGTGCGTTTACGTGGAAGGTGGGGAACAAAACTGTTATTGTATAATGTAAAATGAGACTTGAGAGCGAAATCAAGGGAGGCAGACAAGGAAATCAAACCACACTCCAGGCTGGCACAATGCTGCTGCAGAAAAGTAGTGACGGCGTGGGGTAGTCACAAAATAATAACATTCCTAGGTCTTGGAAATATGTGGCGACCTAACCTTCCGGCCCACTGACTATCATGCAAAATGCCGCAAAGTCAGAAGACGGAGTCGTGAACTGACAATGATAAACAGTTATCAAGTGAGTTTGGTTTGTTACGGCTGCACTGAAAGCTAAAATCCCTCCCCGTCCCCGTATAAAGTCTGAGTTTGGAACAGGGAATACCACCCGCAAGACCCCGGCCTCTGTGACCATGCCAATTCCTGGATTGAGAACCTCGAATAACGCTACAAAATCTCCAGGAACCGGTATGGCTGCATCCTCATTACGGGCCCCGACGATACATATGAAAGTCGCACATTACTTGTTTGCAAGTAGGGACTCCTTAACAGCAATGAAAAGTCTGGACGAGTGAGAGGTGTCGTTGAACCGCGATCGCCAGACTATGGCTAGCGGTGCAGTAGGGCGTTAGGCACCAAAAATTGCAACAGTGTCACAGTACTCGAGCGGTTCTGTGATGTTTTTATTCATTTCGTAGTTGTTTCGGTGAGCTAAAATGTTGGCATATCGTGATATGTAGCGAACTGCCTGTGAAGTGCTGTGTTGAAGTCAGGCATGCCGTGACGTGCAAAATTGTTGTTGCGGGGATTTAATAGGTATACAGGGAAGTGCAACAAGTATGTATTAAGATTTTCAAAAATAGCAGCTACCTATGCATAAATCTACTGCCTCTAGCTGACGATACTTGTATCTTTAGGGTAAGGTGATACCATACTAACAGCACAGGTACTAGCAGAAAGCCCATGCACGCGTATTTCGCCGACGTTTTGTATCTGGAACACCTATAATCATGCTCGATTTAGTTAGCCTTGATGTTACGAATTGTGGCTCTCCACGTATGATGGCCTGCGACATCGGATCTTCGGAGTTAGATCCACTCACCTCTCCAGTGGCGACGACTAAGTACCTGAAGTCCAAAAACCACTTCCATGTATTTACAGACTGTATTGAACCAGGTTTTTAGTTAACCTTTGCAGCGTCTCCACACAGACACCGGTTAGGGGTTAATGGGAACAAGACTGAACCAATAGAATGCACCCAGATCGCCCTTCTTGGTGGCCTAAGATATCCTCGCGATGTTGACACGGCGAGTGTGAACTGTCTCAAGCAGTGGTGCGCACAGCTCCAAATCGAAAAATTGGTCAGACGGATGCCAAGTAGACGTACATTTTGTGATGACAGATATATCACGTGGGATTCAAGGACACTTCCGAAGGATCGTGGAAAACCCTGTGAGCAGCATAAATTCGGAAGACGATGTCGTCCTTATTGTCTCTATTAGTACTTGAAACTGTTCACCCCATCAAGTCGACGGCTATTAATTCGCGGACTCCATTCTTCTGGCCACGTATGAAGTTCGCAAACACTCCGGTCTTTCTGTAGCTTATGGATAACTCGGCTGATCTGGCGACTACATTCATCTGCGACGGCACGATCTGCAGGCAAGCAAGGGGATATCGTTAGGGTAGTCGAGGTCAGACGACGCTCGGGTGCAAATTCTACACCGTCAACACCATGTAGGGTCCTTCTGATAAATCAATCAATGGCGAAGTTGGGCAGGATGGGCGACAAAATGGAACCTGGTCGAACGCCAGATTGAATATCGAACGGTCGAGGAGGATTTCTATGGACCAGAACGTGGACAGTGGAGAAGCGACAGTAGGCCCTAGTCCGGCCGGCACACCATCTAATTCCACTACTTCTTACTACTTGCGATGGGTGAGTCGAAAGCGGCAGCGAAGTAGACAAGGCAGACGACCATCGGTTGGCGATGGGCAAGGCGAAGTCCACAAATGCTCTGCAAAGCAAATACCCGGTCCGTGTACCCACATCCAGTTAGGATGCCGGTTTTGTTGGGTCTCGGTCCAAAGTCACGTGCACTATAAGACCGCCTGAGAAGTACAATGGCAAAAACCCTTGCAGCGTCAATGGAACTTGCGCAGCGGTAGCTACCGCATCTTGTCTTGTTACCCTCCTCACGCTTGCTCAACCAGGGCGCCATAGTGTGGACCTAAAATGTATGAAATGCCGTCCTCTCCGGGCGCCCTGTTGTTCAGACGTCTGCATCGGCGATTTCCTTCTGGGCAAAGAGTTCAAACGATAGTACAAAGGCCTAGAGGAATACAACTCTGTCGTAAAGGAGAGGATGAGAGGAGTCGGTGGTTGAGATGTCCGAAGTGCTTACGCCAGAGCTCCGCTTTGGCCGAGTAGTAAGCAATGAAGCGACCACGCACGTCGCGAACAGTAACTTAGTGAAGAGCACTGGCAGCTGGCTTAGCAAATAGTTCAGCAGAAATTCTCAAGTGTCACCAATTTTTGAGGCCGGCTCCATAGAGGAGACCACTTCAGCCCAATAATTTTTGTAGCCATTTCACAGTTAGGTCAAAACGAATTCTTCAAAATCCGCCAAAACACCTACTGAGTACGTGAGCCTGGTGGTCACCTGGTCGATTCTAGATGGATTACTTAGGAAATCGTGCTTTGGCAGTCGGCTTACTCTATCAGATTTCCAGAAGTTGCAGTAGGTTGGGCGGGTAAGTTGGCCCAAATTTGATTAAACTCACGTCTGTCGGTTGGGTCTCGTAGTTCAGGTGGCTAGAGTATCAGCTATACTAAAGCCTCCTCTTGCTGTTGAGGGTTCGAATCCCACCGAGGCGCCGAGTTTTTCGTAGTTATGTCAAGATAAAGTAGTCACTTCTGGCCGACTTTGACGTCATTCCCCAGAGTTGACAGAATAAAGCACCGTTGCAGGACCTAGTCCAGGTTATATGGACAGAAATTTGGAAGGCTTTTTAATTATTTCACTCACTGCGGCGCCACTGAGTGAATCAGACAAATCTCCCAGCAGCCTAACAGACGGGGAATTCCAATAATGACCATTTGCTGTTGAGTCCCTTCGACCAGAAAGGCAAAATAAGAGCGGACTTCTGCGATCAGAGCCCCGGGTGTGTTATACTGTAATAGATGCGTGAAATCAAAGCATCCTGCATGTGGTGATTTGTGCAAGTATGAGATGTGGACTTCCAAGCATGTGAGAACAAGAGCATGGTCTGACCCATCGGCATTCCCAGTTTTGGCACCAAGCATCGGTCATGAATCGAGTTATGGAACCTCAAACTGTTTAGGGTGCAGTAAAATTTGGCCGGCCGTACGACCATCGTTTGAATATCAGATCAGCAGATATTTTCGGCGGTGGTGGAAGTACATAGTGGCAGATAGCCGGTTCTGGTCAACGAACTTCAGCATTCTGTTACCGTTGTCGCATCGAGGAATCGGCCCAAAGTGGCCAACCAGTCGCGTGGTTCAGTACGGTCACTCCAGGTTTCAGCAACAACTATATGATCACGTGGAGTGGGTCCTTGCAGCTGCAAGTTGATTTCTTTATTGCACTGGTCGGTCGGTGATGATAGTGCGTACACGGAGACGACAGAAAGATTACAATGTCTCTCCTGTTCTACGTAAGCCAGCCGGGGTTCCCACGAAAGCAGTGCTTGGTTCGTTTGTTGTGAGACAGCGATCGCTTCACTCTGTCCACGAGAACAGTCGCGTGGCCCGCTGTGATACGTGGCGAGTTAAGAGTTTACTGAGGGGATTTTGACCTCCCGCAAGCTTGAGTCGGGGATTCAAATAGGCAGCAGACATCCTAGTTGTAGTGGTAGTGTGTCGTCAGGTTTTGGGTATAAGGGGCCAGGAACCTTAGCACATTTCCGCATTCAATAACAAGAGTCAGTCTTCGGTTGGGTAGCCTAGCTCACATACCATTCGTCGGCACCACTGGGTCGGGTTTCTATTTACCTGCTTTGGTGACCAGGCTGCCATATTCCCCTGTGGATCATGAAATCGCTGTATAGACATTTTGGTTTATGGACCTCGCTGTAGGAACCACCGAGGCCACCAAGTGTTCGTTCCGACCTCCTGCAAAACACCAGGTCGCCGGAGGCCGGAATGCTCAAGTTGACACGGCAGTAGAATCGAAAGTATTCACTTAAGTCTGTTCGAGAACTGGATTTCCGCTGGATGTGCAGGCATGCATGCAAAGTATGAGTACAGCGTGCTTTGCACTTCGCCCTAGCCTGTAATATTTATCCGGCTTCAGAGATGGCCGCAGTCCTGTACAGACAGAGCTTCGCGTTGCCTAGGACTGGCACAAATTGATTTACATAGCTTATCAAAGTTGTGTGCACAAGCCTGTTCTAGGTAAACGGCTGACTTGGAAATGCGTACCAGATACAAATCAAGATGCTGACGATTTGATAAGGCCTTAATGAGAGTCTCCGAAAACTAACTATGCGAAACGTGTTGCATACAAATTGACCCGACAAGGAGCAAGGGTTTACAATGAGGTTTTTCTGGTGTTCTGTGACGATGTATAACCAACACGAAAATGACAAGGGGAATTCTGTAAAGATATACTTGAGGAAGCCCAGCTTATCGCCTTGTAACCCAGGCCCTAGTGCGATGCTTAAACTACAAAATCAGGCGTCTTCAAACAGGCATATTTCGCTCCATTCTTCTTTACAACCGTTAGCGCGGAGTTTCGTAAATGCATCGAAGAATTATTTGTTTTCCATCGGGATAGCTCGCGGCGTCATGGTCTTATTTCCCTCTTGAGCGTAGGCAACATTGCAGCACCCACCGCTAGATGTCGAAAGACGCGATCATAACGTAATCAAACTGCATTCATTAACACATCTTCCATACGAAAGTAAGTCAGTGTCCTTAAGAAGGGACGCCGACTGTTGAAACTAATGTCCCTATACTTCGAAATGTTACTCGTGTTCCAGCAACTATTGGCCTGAATTTCTCATTTTCCTACATGAGGAGTCTAAGGATGGGGTCTCAGAGGATACAGCCCGCAATCGGCATATGGTTCTGTCAAAATGAAAGTATGAATTTACAAAACGTAGGCAATCTATAAGGACGTAAGAACCAGATAGATTATACAATGCCACGAAATCAGGCATTGTGTGTGTTCATGAGATCAGCGGCTTACGTTTATGTATGGGACAAACAGGTGTAAGTTCCCTTGCAATAGAATGCAGTAGTTGTCGCCGTCCTTAACAGCATACTTTGGGGGCGTATCCGGGCTCGCTGTAGTGGTCGGAGCCGGTTCAGTAGAACTCACCGCTTCGATACTCGGAAGATCGATGGAAAGTATATGAACAAAAACGGCTGAATTACACGTGTAAGAATCTCTCGGAACCTGCCTAGACAGAAAAGACGACCCAGCATCTCCTCGCTTGTCAGTTTTTCAAAAGCAGTGGCCACTATTTAATTGATTCAAAGTATAATGCATCAATCTGACTGACTGACGTTTGTTTGGATTGACCGTTTTCCACACGATATTCTCTCCAAGGCGGGGTCTACGCTAAGTTATAATAGTTTCTACTGCCTTTATATCGTCCCTTATTCCAGTGACAGATAGCGACTCCCCACCTGCACACAAAGCTTCATCCCAACCACCGTTACTATATCGTGCTACCCCCACCCTCGTAGTTTCTCACAGAACTATAACACGTGCATCTTCCAGGAGTGTACATATTCAACCCTACTCAAATGCCATAACTTTTTCCATTACTGATAACTGTTCTCATAAGACGGTTTCACTGTCGTTTCCAACGGTGTCCACCTTGTGCACATCGGTAGCTGGGGCGCAGGGACGGTGACTTGAGCGTGAGTCAGTTTATGGTGATCGTAGTCTTACTCATCGTCTAGCGCGCTCTCTCCTTCTTCTCACCTGCCTGGGTCAGGCGTCAAGGAATAGTGATGAAGATTGGAGATAGGAGAGGACACAGGAGACTGGCTCCGTGTGGACCCACGCCTTGGCGTGCCACCATAACCCTAGTCTGCGTCCAAAGGACCAGGGCTTCATATAACAAGAAATGGGGGACGGCTCTGATCTGAAGTAAGCGGAAGTGTCATTTGGGCTACATCATAAAGAAAGCATTGCAGCCTGATCCCCCATTGAAAGGAGGGTCGAATCATCCCGTTATTTGATAGTCTTCAAAGTGAACGCGCACAGCACTATTTTGAAAAGATTAGTGGAATTTATATTTTTCAATTCGATTTCTTAATCTCTTACACTGTTTTCCGGTGTAAATCTGGCAACATTTGCTATTTTTTGTCAGAAGTCATCTCAGCTTCACGTCGTGTTTTGTCGATTTATCCTAAAGCGGAAATAATGTGTCGTAGTTTTTCATCCAACATATTCTCAATCCTATTAAGTTTTATCCGCGTATATAAAAGGGTTTTCCTCGTAAAATTTTAAATAACATTATATTTTAAACGACAAACTGTCCCCATTGGGTGTTTTAAGTGTAGATTTATTGACTGAAGGATGGCGAACACAATCTGGCTATCTTCAAGGGGAAGGTAGTTCGGAAATATATGCCGTTTCAGTGGAACCAACCTGTAATACTACGAACGACGACAGCTACTCAGCTAAAACAGACACCTTCGTTGAACCACCTGATCAAGGCGCCAACACAAGTGAGCCCGTAGCGTCCAGTGATCTGACTGAAACAAGGCATGTAAATGGAACCAATCAGGTAACGGAAGAGCCTAGAGAATACGACGTTCGCGATAACGGAGTACTGCTCACAGCAGTAACAAATGCAACGGGAAATTCGGCTGGTGCTAAACTGAGGTGCTTGTACACGAATGCCCAAAGTCTCATATCGAAACTAGACGAACTAAAACTTTGCCTTGCTGAGCTGTCTCCAGATGTTTTAGCAGTAACTGAGACCTGGCTGTCCGTGAATATTAGCGATAACGAAGTAGCCTTGCCTGGATACCAAATTTATCGGAGGGACAGGGAACATCGTCAGGATGGTGGTATCGTTGTGTATGTGAATGAAGGTCTGAAAGTGTCGGATAACACCGCCAAGTTTGCGTGCAGTACGGAAGCTATCTGGTTGACCATCAAGGCTACCGGTTCCCCATGTCTCGATGTCCTCACTGTCTACCGACCACCTAGGACAGACCAAATCGCCGACACTCAACTATTGGAGCAGTTGGAGAAATTTTCCAGTCGACCTAACATCATGATCATGGGCGACTTCCACGCACCAGGAACAAACTGTAATACCCTCCAAGCGTCAGGTCCAAAATCGGCATTCGATTACCGCCTGTTGCGCAAAACATTAAATGCGTGCCTCACACAACATGTAATGTTCCCAACGAGAACACGTGAAGGACAAAGGGCAAACTGCCTGGATCTGGTCTTTACGAAAACACCAGACAGCATAGACGAGATCGCCTCCATGCCGCCCCTTGGCCGAAGTGACCACGTAGTGCTTATGTGGGATTATTCGTTATTCTCCATTTCACAAACTCCAGACCACAAAAGACGTAATGTTTGGCGGGGCGACTTCAGTCAGATGAGGGCAGACTTATCCGGTCTTGACTGGGGCTCATTGTTTACGGGAAGTGCCAACGATGACTGGGAGCTGTTCAAGAATGTCCTTCTGCAGCTCATCAACAACCACTGCCCACTGACTAGTGTAAGACTGAACAAACGCCCTGGGTGGCTAACTAGCAACCTCAAGAAAGAAATCAACAGGAAGCACAAATTGTGGAGAAAATACTGCGTCACCAGACTAGCTGAATGTTTCAACACCTACAAGACACAGAGGAACAAACTGAGGAAACTGATAATGCGGACGCGGCGGGAATTCGAGAAGAACTTGCTACAAAAAGCAACGCAGAACCCAAAATTGCCCTACAGCTACCTCCGACGAACTACAAGGAACAGGCATCAAATCCCTTTGATAAAGACTACTGATGGCGTTGAGATCGCTGATAGTAGGGATAAAGCTGCGTATTTTTCACGGTTTTTCCAATCAGTCTACACAAACGAGGCAAGCTTCCTTCCTCCCTCCACAGAAGAACTGCCGACTCCAAGCATTGTCCGAAGAAAATTAGAGGCATTGAACGAATCGAAGTCGCCAGGACCAGACGAGATTCCATCCAAGCTTCTGAAGGAACTTGCCAGTGAGCTCTCTGTGCCTTTGTCGATGCTCTTTCAAACGTCATTTGACACTGGAACACTTCCTGTCGATCGGAAGCTGGCGCATATTACTCCGCTACACAAAGGAGGTAACAGGGCAGCGACGACAAATTACCGGCCCATAAGCTTGACATGCATTATCTGCAAAGTTATGGAAAGGATCATAAAGAGTGAACTGATGCAATTCCTGGAAGTTCACGGCCTGCTATCGAAATGCCAACATGGGTTCCGAGCAGGAAGATCCTGCGCGACAAACCTGCTGCAATCTCTCCAGAGCTGGACCCGAGCTCTCGACGACAGGCACGCGGTCCACATAGCCTTCATCGACTTCCAGAAGGCGTTCGACACTGTGCCACACCAAAGACTCTTACACAAGCTGAAAAAAATAGGGATCGGTGGCAACTTCCTTAAATGGATCGAAAACTTCCTTGTGGGTCGACACCAGGTTGTGTGCGTCGGTCGGGGAAAATCAGATCCGGCTATGGTCGATAGTGGTGTCCCCCAGGGTTCAGTACTGGGACCCATTTTGTTCCTTATCTACGTGGACGATGCCGCAAGAGATTTAGACTGTGAAGTAGCAATGTTTGGGGATGACACGAAGATATGGAGTGTAATTCGGGGTCCTGCCGATGAAGACAGACTGCAGATGAACCTGAATCGGTTGGAGGAGTGGTCAAACCGTTGGCTCCTGCGGTTCAACGTTGCCAAATGTAGCATACTTCGCCTAGGCAACACAGCCAGATCCGCCAGCACAAGAGGCTACTTTCTGGGCGGTGCAGTCCTACAAGAGGTCGAAGCCCAAAGGGACCTCGGTATGCTTACGACAAGTTCCCTTAAACCATCCGCCCACTGTTCGAGAGTGGCAAAAACCGCAATGTCCGTACTGTACGCCATCAAGCGTGCGTATATGGACTTTGACGAAGAAGCTTTCTCTAAGACATTCGGAACATTCGTCCGGCCGCATTTAGAGTACGGCATACAAGCTTGGATGCCGTCGGCTATTGTGGATCAAAACTGCCTCGAAAGAGTCCAGAGGAGAGCCACGAAAATGGTTAGGGGTCAAAGCTCCTTTCCTTATGCAACCCGCCTAGTAAATCGGAACCTCTTTCCTTTGAGTTACAGGCAACTTCGCGGAGATCTCTTGCAAGCCTTCCGCATTATAAAGGGGTTGGATTGCAGTCTGGCCTTCGAGGTTTTTTTTGAATTTGCTACCACGACCAACCTCAGAGGTCACCCGTTAAAACTGCGCACTCAGCAGGCACGGCTGGATGTGCGGAAGTTCTCATTCTCGGTTCGGGTGGTCAAACCATGGAACGAGCTTCCCGCTGATGTTGTGATGTCACCATCTATACAAAGTTTTAAGAAGAATCTGGACATATTTATGTTCCGAAATGACCAAGAGCGATGAGAAGTCGAGCTCACCCCTGTAACTCCTTCTCATTTTGTCCCACCATTATGGGCGTGTTCGAACTATTTCAGCCCAGAACATCTATCTGTACACCACACAATTTTTACGTTGCAAATAGGGTACTCAAAGGCTTACGCCTATTTCCCTCAATAAACTGAACTGAACTGACTAGTAAGAGAACTATACTCTTCTCTATTTTATCCTACATAGCCTCTTTATCCAGTACAAATTTACTCACAGTTTTGTTTCGCTACCTATGAAATTGTCACTTACCCGTTTGTTTTTCAAGTTTGCATTCTGTTGTTGAGCAAAAATTGCTTAGTATCAATTGTGCTGTCTGGTCCACCGATATTAATAGCATTCAGAAATTGTTACATCATGCATTGCCTCATCCTTATATCCTCTTAGTTTCGCATCTATCGTCACTATAACTTGTTGGACTAAAGTCTTGTTTTGCTTTTTCGACATGAAACTTCAGGCAACCCTTCGTCGAAATCTGAAGGAAACTAAACTCCACTTGAAACCCATTGTACGTATGAAAAATAGAACTAGGATCGCTCGATAATTTACGCAATTTTATGTCTCGTTACGAATCATTTTTTTTCTGTTCGTTGCGCCCTTTTTGAAGGAAAATTACCAACACTATCGTCTCAGCAATGTGAGAAGCTCATGCCTCTCATTGACCTGGTTGCTAATGTGACCGAAGACAGGCACAAGCGAAGTTTCAACTTTATTTTAAAAAAACGTTCCTAAGGGTAGACAGTAAATCGATGTCGCTATCCACTTTTTTTTTATTCGTGCGGCTTCAACTTTAGG